TTGCACTGAGGAATTCTGTTAGGAAAGTTTAGAGGGACAGATCTGAGGGTAATTCTGGGGACAGGGTCATTGGTGGACAAAATCTGGAATCTATTTTGTTTTTGTTTTTTCACTTTTTAATTTCTTTCTGGCAAACACAGGAAGAGACCTTGAGTTTTTGTATTTTTTTGCAGTGGTGAGGAAGAGTCAGGACTTTGAGGTCAAATAGACCTGAGTTTGAATCCCAGTTCTCTCATTCCTTAGCTTTAAATTATTATCGTCCCTAGTCCTCAGTTTCCTCATCTGTAAGATGAGGATACTCATAATTCCTTCCTTCAAAATGTTGTGAGGATGTGATATGGTCTCCCTGCTTCTGCCCTTGTCCTGTGATGTCATATTCTCACCACGGCAGCCAGAGTGGCCCTTTCAAATTGCAAATAAGACCATATCAGTCTCCTGGTCCTTCAGTAGCTTCCCGTCTCACTCCAAGGAATACCCACAGTCCTCACAGGGGTCAACAAGATCAGGCCCCTACTACGTTTCCTGCTTCTCTCCCCATTGCCCATCCTCCCCAGCTTCCTTGCTGCTCATACTTCGAATCCAGGGCTGTGCACATTCTGCTTCCTCTGCCTGGAATGCTATGCCTCCAAATGGCCAAATGACTTGCTCCCTCATGTCCGTCAGATTTCTGTTCAAGTGTCATCTTACAAGTGAGACCGTCCCAACACCCCTTCCCTCCCCAGCTTTTCTTTCACCAACCGACATACTACATGTTTACTTTTCAAATCTTTTTTTTTGTTTTCCTAATGCCTACCCCACACCACCTAGAATGTAAGCTCTGTGAGAGCAGAGGAGTTTGGCTGATGTCTAAAGCAGTGCCAGGCACATGTTAGGTACATAATAGATGTTGACCAGTATTCATCAACAAATAATAAAAATAATTATCACCTCTGTAACGCTTACCACATATGGGGCACTGTTATAAACACTTACATATGTTAATTTATTTATCTTTACAACAGCCCTATATGTACTATCATTATGCTCATTTTACAGACAAGAAACTGAGGCACAGAGAGGTTAGGTGACTTGCCAAAGTACAGGATGTGAGTCCATACTTTTAACCGTTATGTTGTCATTTATTGAGATCAGGCGGGGCACTGGGTATAGCAGTGAACAAAACAGAGTCTCTCTGCTTTAGATTAATAGAGACTTAAGAAATAAAGTAATCAAATGCATTGAAAAATCTTAGCAGATCTGGGTTTGGATAAAACAGCAGGAGAAGCGATTTGGGAGATAATTGGGGAAATCTGAATATGAGCTAGGTATTTACTGTATTCAAGAATTATTGTTAATTTTTTTTAGGTGTGATAATGGTATTGTGGTAAGTAGGGATATGTTCATTTTATTTTATTTTTAATTTTTTTTTCTTTATTGATTTTTAGAGAGAGAGAGGAAGGAAGAGAGAGAGGGGGATAGAAACATTGATGAGAGAGAACATTGGCCACCACCTGCATGTCCCCATTGGGGATCGGGCCCACAACCTGGGCATGTGCCCTGACCGGAAATCAAACCGGCGACCTCTTGGTACATGGGTCGATGCTCAACCACTGAGCCACAAAAAGGGAAAAAATGTGGACCTTATATTTTAATAAGAAGACAGACCACAGTGGTTGGCTCCTTCTCCCTGCTCTATTCTGTCAAGTCCAGCAGCCAGCTCATCAGCAAAATTTCCCACCCCGATGTTACGTGATGTATAACTCACAGTGAAAGTCTGTGATGCAACCCTAACTTGCCCTGACGTTTTTGCCTTTGATCTCTCACCTATGGTTCCTCATGTCAAAAATCATCAAAACTTGGGCTTGAATTAAATTTTGAGAATCACTTTCTCAATTAGATCCCATTTCACAAAATTAAAGCTTCTTTCCATCTAAGACACAGGTGTTGCACATGGCTGCATCTTATTAAATCACACACTTATGTGTGTTTGCTTGATAAAGCATCCCTGTTATGGAATTAATACAGAGAATAACTCTCAAGCAGTCAGATGGCTTTATTTTCCCAGCTCCACAACCATACCAACTCTATCATGCTTCTAAGTGGGTCCTTTGATCTAAACAGTTTAGAAATTTCTATTCTCAAATTGCCTTTGGACTTAACTTGCCAGACACAACAAGGAAATCAAATAGTCTCTTGGCCTATAAGCTTTTTCTCCTTCTCTTCCTCCTCCTTCCTTATCTTTTGTTGTTTTTATTTCAAACCCTTTCCTTGACTGTTAGGAGCACATGTGCCCACGGTGCCCCAGAGACGGTTTGGGCTGGTGTGGATAGGGAGCTAAGATGTACTATAAAGAAACTCCATCAGAATATGGCTTTTTCAAATGTAAAAAAGAAAAAATGAATAAACAATTCTTAGTTATTATGCTTAATTACAATGGAGTGACTCCTGTTTATCACTGAAATGTTTTGCTGTAAAATGGAAGTCCAAAAACAGCTAACAACTTTGGAGCTTAAAGAAGCAACTGGGGTTTACCTAGTCTAAAAGGTTGGCTATGGGCAATTAAAGGTGGTAATATCCCAGTTGGATTTCACTACCGCTTAATAATACAAGCTTTTGAGTTGGGGCAGCAGGCTTGCTGGAACAGCTGGGGAAACAGCACTGCTTGGCATTGACTTTACAATGTGAAATTCGGGCTATCCTTTGTGTCAGCGGTTATGCATTTTTAAGCAGATGTCGCTGATATTAGAAATAAAACAATAGGGATCCAAGTGCTGGAGGTAAAATCAGGACGGGAAACAGTCTTTTCCCCTTTCTAAATGAAGCTCACCCAAGCTCACAGCATTTCAAAGAACCCGGGGTTATACTCAGCACAGAAGATTCCCTATCTTTATAATCATTGGCCAGCATTCAAAACTCTATTGGGAAAATAAATTTCTGGCCACAGTTTTGTTTTTCCTAAAGACAGACACAATAATAAAGCAACTATACATTTGACAACAGTCCTAATTTCACATATTTTATTTTATTGTTTTTATAAACCAGAGATCTCAGATCATTCCCTGGTGGACCAGCGGTGGCCCTCCTGAGATTCTTGGCAAAATAATACAAATTTAACTGAAGCAGACACTTAATGGTAAGGAAGATAAGAAGTTTAAGCTCCCTTTCATAGTGTTCTCTTTTCATGAAAACCTTTATTATTATCTGGTATCTTCTTAGCAATGGGCTGTCTTCCCATCCCCAAACCCCTGCTAGAATGTAAGCTCTGTGAAAGCAGAGACCTGGTCCGAGTTGTTCATTCGAGCTGCCTCTGACCTCCTTGGCACACCGGAAGTACTCCACAGAGCGGCTGAACAAACCCAGTGTAACAAGTACAATGAAAGCTGGGAGCAGGCTGCTTTGGGAACACGGCCTGGACTAGTATTTTACACGGGGATGAGTAAGTATTTCCTTAGAAGTCACTGTACTGGTTTCATTTATTCATTCAACAAACATGTATTGAGAGTCCCTTAGAACTGTAGAGCAATGAACAAACTGACATGGATCCTGCCCTCCTTATAATCTAGTGGACAGACAGACATTTTAAAAAATCATACAATTTAATATCTAATTACAAATTGTGGTAAGTATGATGAAGGGAAAATACAGGCTAATATAAACAATTATAAAAAGGGTACCATGTGTTGGCTGCACAACTCTGTGAATATACTAAAAACCACTGAATCAAACACTTTTAAAACAGTGAGTTTTATGGTATATAAATTATATCTCAATAAAGCTATTATTTTTTAAAGGGTACCACAGCTTTGGATCCCTGCATTTCTGGGTACACAATGCTGTCTCTGACCCTTAGTAGCTGTGTTGTCTTGGTCAGTTTCTTTAACATTTTGTACCTTGGTGTCTTCAACAATAAAATAAAGGTAATAATAACAGCTCCTTTTAGGATTGTTCTGAAGGTTAAATAAGTTAGTATTCCCAAAGCACTGACCACAGTACCTGGTACTCAAAAGAAGTGAGCTATTATGAATTTTGGGGAGTCAGGGAGGAAACAGGAGTCAAACTGAAAGAACACCCTAAGGAGGCAAAGTCAGAAACCTTCTGAGCTCTATTCTTGCCACTTGAAAACTTTCTTTGTAGGTCTCTGTTTAAAAATTTGAAGGCATTCTGTTTTTATTTATTTTGCTTTCTGAAGAAAACTCTTGTCAGAGAAATTAACCATGCCATAAACATCTGAAAAAACAATGACATGTTTTCTCATTTAGACATAAAGCAAATTTCCTACCTTTACTCTTAATTTTTTTCTAACAGCTTTATTGAGATATAGTTCAAATACCTTAAATTCTCCTTTTATTTATTTTTTTCATCCTCACCTGAGGCTATTTTTTGCATTTATCTTCAGATAGAGTGGGAGGGGGAGGGGGAGAGGGAGGAAGAGAGAGAGAGAAACATTGATGTAAGAGAGGCATATCAATTGGTTGCCACCCACACGACCCCAACCGGGGCCGGGGACAAACTGCAACCCAGGTACGTGCCCTTAGTAGGAACTGAACCCAGGACTCCCTGGTCTGCAGGCCAACAATCTAACTGCTGAGCCAAACCAGCCAGGGCAAATTCTCCCTTTTAAAAGGTACAATTCAATGGTGTTTAGTATACTTATAGAGCGGCGCAGTCATTGCCACTATCTAATTCCAGAACATTAAAAAATTTTTTTCTTTATTGATTTGAGAGAAAGAGAGATAGAAACATCGATGACGAACATCAATTGGCCGCCTCCTGCATGCCCCCCACTGGGCATTTGACCCACAACCTGGGCATGTGCCCTGACCGGGAATTGAACCAGCGACCTCTTGGTGCATGGGTTGACATTCAACCACTGAGCCACACCAGCCGGGCTAATTCCAGAACATTTTTATCATCCTCAAAGAAACTTGATACTCATTAGAGTCACTCCTCATTCTCTCCTCCTCCCAGCCTCTAGCAACCACTAATCTCCCCTCTGTTTCTATGGATTTCTCTATTCTTACCTTTATTTTTGGAAAGACATGTGGAAATGTGCTCTGCTGTCTTTGGGGTTGCCAAAGTTTACCCTCAGATTCTGAAGGTAAAATAAATGATTTCTGATCAATTATAGCTGGAAGCAACCTAGTGAGGAAAAAGAATTTAAAATCAAATTTGCTATCTTAAAAGCTTCACAAATTGTAATTTAAAAACAAGACATCCTACTTAAATTAGATTTTACAGGAAATATTCTGTTGGTAATTATAATAAATTAGAACAATCTTTAGTATTTTTACCTCTATAAAACTGTAATTGTTTATTAAGCATGTGAATTTCCAAGTCTGATAAACACCATTATAGCATGAATAGAAAACTCTATGTCTGGCTGAGTTTATATGACACACGTTGACATAATTACTGCATTATAAAACATTTCTTGGTAAAGAAAAATACAATATGATTCACTTTGTTTAATAAAACCAAATCACAGGGTAGCTGATGTTAAATATATTCAAAATGCTGGTCCCCTGAACCACTTTATACTTACATTCTTTAAACCTCTACTATTTTATATATTGCAAAGACCTAAGGATCAAAGGTGGTTAAAGGTCCTCCTTATTAAGCAGTGGGCAGGTCCGTGAAAGAACAATGTACAACAAAATAAAGATGTAAGAGTGAGTGTATATATGACTTCCAACTTTTAATTTGGGAGTAGTTCTTTAACATGGTTAACATAATTAAGATCAATAAAAGTCAACCATCAATGACTTAATCTCTTGATTCCACTGTGATACCCATTTGTCTAAAATTAACATTAGAAAGTAATTTATGGACTTCTGGTTTTACCCAACATGTAAAGAGCTAGGATGTTATCACTCTCAACCTTACAACAAGATAAAAGGGTGAAGAAACCCAAAACAACTCTTCTTGGATCCATCAGAGAATTCAGATCATAGGGAGAACTGCTTGTGGCCCTGAACGCTGGAGAGAGAGGCAGGTAACGACCACGAGCAGAAGCTGCTGCTGAAGCCTGTACTGGCAAGAGCGCTTGAACTCCAACAGATGCAACACTGGAGGCTCTGTGAATTAGCTGGAAAGTTAAAAAACTCCTAGGGGCCAAGTCTTAGGGGGACCCTATACTTTCATGAGTTTTACCTCCAGGAGCCCCAATATGTTCTCATGGTAAAAAGGAGAGAAAAATCCCCTCATGCTACCAGTAGGGAGAAGGGAAAAGAAACTATTTCAAAATACTCCCAGAGAGTTCTGTTCTTTGTAATGAAGGCAAGATCTCTAGGAAAGCTATTTTACCAAAGCCTTATCAGATCTGAAGAAGGGCAGTTAGCTAACTCCAGCCTCCTCTGGTCCTCCTGTCTCACCTAAGGGGGAAAATGCCAAGAAAAACTAGTGAAGGTAACAATCCAGGGACATAGACCCACTAAAAGACTGAGAACTAATCATAGGATTATCGAATGCTTCCCCCTAACATACTATCTATAGAGCCTCTGTATAACAGAGGACTACAGACGAAAAACTGCAAGGCTCAGACTCTATTTAGAAAGGAGTTTCTAGGGAAACCCAAAGACAACAGGGGAGACAAAACAGACAGCGGAGGAAATGGAAGCCTCAGAGACCTCCAGTTATAACAGACAGTAAACACAGCGTAACTGAGAAGAAGGCCTAGTTACCTCAGTTCCTATTACCTAATACATCAACAAAAAATGACAAAGCGTGCTGAAAGGAAGAAAAAAATGTCTGTCCCTGGCTGGTGTGGCTCGGTTGGTTGGAATGTCATCCCGTATATCAGAAGGTGGTGAGTTTGATTCTCGGTCAGGGCGCATGCCAGGGTTGCAGGTTTGATCCCCAGTTTGGGCGCATGTGGAGGCAATGCTTTCACATCAGTGTTTCTCTCTCTTCCTTCCTCTCTCTCTCTACCCCTTCCTCCCCCTTCCTCTCTCTGAAATCAACACAAAAGAAAAAAAAAGTCTGAAGAGATAAAGCAAGCATCAGAATCAGATTCAGATATAACAGATTTTGGAATTATTAGACCAGGAATTTAAGATAACAAGATTAGCCCTGGACGGTTTGGCTCAACGATTAGAGCGTCGGCCCGCAGACTGGAGAGTCCCGGGTTCAGTTCCTGCTAAGGGCATGTACCTCGGCTGCACTTTGTCCCCGGCCCTGGTTGGGGTCGTGTGGGTGGCAGCCAGTCAATGTGTCTCTCTCACATCGATGTTTCTCTCTCTCTTTTCTTCCTTCTCTCCCTCCTGGTCTATCTGAAGATAAAGATGCAAAAAAAAAAAGTCCTCGGGTGAGGATTAAAAAAATAAATAAAATAAAATAACTAAGATTAATATGCTAAGGGCTCTAGTGGAAAAAACGGACAACTTGCAAGAACAGATGGGTAATTTCAACAGAGAGATGAAAACTCTAAGAAAGAATCAAAAGGAAATGTTAGACACATCTCAATTAGCATGATAAAGTTTCACTAGAAACACTTGATCTGTAATTAATTTCATAAAATGTAAAAATAAAAAAACCAAAGGAAAAGAAAATGTTAGCAATCTAAAACACTGAGAAATAAAGACTGCCTTAGATAGGCTTATCAACAGACTGGACACATGCAAAGAAAGAATCAGTGAGTTTGAAGAAATGTCAATATAAACTCCAAAACTGACATAGAGAAAAAAACCTGAATAAACAGAACAGAACATCCAGGAACTATAGGACAATTGTAAATGATGTAACATATACATGATGAGGATGTCAGTACAGAAGAAAGAATCAGAAGAGATATTTGGGTAATAATGGCTGAGAATTTTCCAAAATTAGTGACAGACACTAAACCACAAGTCTAGGAAGCTCAGAGAATACCAAGCAGGATAAATACCAAAATAAAAATCTAAACTTAGACATGTCATATTCAAACTAGGGAACCAACGACTAAGAGAAAGTCTTGAAAGAAGACAGAGAAAAAAACCAACTGACCTATAGAAGAACAAGGATGAGAATTATATTGAACTCCTCCTTATTAACCATGCAAGCAAGAAGAGACTGGAAGGAAATATCTGAAGTATGGAAAGAAAAACCCCACTAACCTGGAATTCTGTATCCAGTGAAATTATCCTTCAAAAGTGAAGGGGAAATAATCACATCCTCAAACAAACAAACACTGAGACCTGTCTTGCAAGAAATGTTAAAAGAAATCCTTCGGAAAAAAGGAAAATAATGCAGGTCAATTATGGGATGTGTAAAAAAAAAGAAAAATCCAAGGACCTCACCATTATATTCTTTGTGTCCCAAGGTCCCTAACTAGTCTACCTTTATCCTTCAATGTCTTAACTTTGTTTTATATATAATGTCCAGAGTTTTCAGTTGTACTTAGAAGAAGGAATAGGGTAAGTCTACACCATCTCCCTAGAAGTGAAACTCAGTATATTTCTTATGAAGCCTTTACCTCTGTGGAGTATGTATAAGCAAATTCTCACTGAAATACAGTGTTGTATCTTGCTTTCCCTCCCCTCAACATACACTGTGAGAGTTTTTCCATGTCATTAAAACTTATTGGATATATATACACACATATATATATAAAATATTCATTTTAGTAGACCTATAACACACATATAAATGTGTATGGAGGTAATCATTATTTTACTGTTAACATTTAAGGTATTTTCAAATTTATTGGTATTAGATACAACACTGAAATTAATACATGTATACAAAGATTCCTGAATATCACTCCTTATTTCCTAGGATAAATTCCTAGAAGTAAAACTACTTAAATTAAAAAATAATAATTAAAAACATCTTCTCACATATTTTGAAAATAGCCTTTAAGAACTTTATACCTTCACTAGGAATATAAATGTATGCCCGTCCTGCTTGCCACCATACGGGCCTTGAGGATTAGGGTGGCTTAAGTGATCTGTTTTGTTAAATCGAAAAGAAAAAGAAGTAATATATTGTTTAATTTGCATTTCCCTGTTTACCAGTGAGATTAAATATTTTTAATATTTTTTCACATATATACTAGCTATTTGCATTTTTCTGTTGATGTCCTTTTGCCTATGTCAAGAGCTCTTTGTATTTAAGAATACTGGTAATTTTGGTATCATATCTGCTGCAAATGTCTTTCCAGTTGTTTTTTATTTTATACTTTTTAAATTTTTATTTTTTGTTTAAAAAAATTCAAACCCACAGAAAAACTGAAAGAATAATGAGCACCAAAATACTTTTTCTTCACCTAGATTACCAAGTGCTAATATCATGTTACCCATTCTCCATCTGTATCTATGACTAGAATGTAACCGTATTCTAAATGGGGTTTGTGGACTGCCTTGTAATAACCATGAAGAGACTGGCTCCCAGATGCTTCAATAATCGAGCAAAAAAATGTATCTTCTGATCTACTCTCACCGTTTAACAAAAATCTCTTTTTCCCCCTCTCACTGTTTCCCACTATTTATCAGCTTTGTTCGTGTCCCCTCACCCCCACTCCAAACACTAGCACAACAGAAAATAAAATGAAGATGTCTGTGCAGTTCCGATAGTGTTGGTACAGATGGAAGTCACCCTCCTGGTGTCAATAAGCAAAGCCTGGTCGTTAAGAACTGTGTGAGCAGACATCACAAGCAATAAAGTCTGTGAAAGCCAGTAATGATAAGAGGAAGAACCACACTTTAACATAGAAGAAGAATCATTGACAGAGTGGAGATAATAGTGTAACCTATTTTGAAAACAATGTGAAAGCATTTTGAGCTCTTTGGAGAAAATACGCCACTTCTGATAATGTCCTTACTATCATTGTTTCCTGAATGACTGCTAGGAAAATCTTGCATTTGCTGGCATCCATTATTATCACTTTGTGTACCTACTGGTTTTTGTTTCTACTAGACGAAACTACCAGATTTTCCTTTCAGCAATACTTTCTAAAAAGGAAAACTGTCTTTTGTGAAAATGAGGTTTCCTGTCTTTCAGGCAGCTCTGTGGAGAAGATAGCAGATTGCAGACATTTGACTGAACTTGAATCTGAGTCTCACCATGGACCATCTGTGTGACTTGGGGCTGAAGGGATCCTCAGTTTTCACATCTTTGAAAGGAGAGGGTAAATATCTACTTTACAGGCTTTTAAAAAGTCCTTTGCAAACTGTTAAATGTTATAAAAATATTGATAATAATGAAATTCATGATAATGAGGAGGATAATTATTTTATGTCTGTTATAAATCATAGTTAAAGGTATACCCAGGGATAGTCATTTGGAATGAACTCTCCCAATTTCCTGGGTTTCCACAGACAGAATGAAGCCCCACATATCTGAACAATGTTGATTTGCATTTACTCATAGGAACTGTGTGCTCTGCTGTCAAAGGAGCAACGGAGATCTACAGTGTTCATCACATGCCACCCTTCTCAGGAGGAGCTGCTGCCCTGGACTTTTGGCCTCCATCAGGCTCCGTTAGACTCATCAGTCCTACCAGCCAGAGTGCCAAGTCCCACTCCTGGCTTATCCCAGAGCAAGAGGCTTCTCCAACCCTTCATGGCATCAGGGGAGCAGAATTTCCAGGACCAGGCTTTTCATCATACAGAAGGCAGATCATCTATGTGGCCAAAAGAATATTGATTCTAGGGAGTCATGCTTGCCTCAGCAATTCCAAGTACACATGGTCTGCCTTAGGAATACCAAGAGTGTTTGTTAAAATGCAGACTCCAGGACCCCATCTGGAAGCTAGTGGAAGAGGATTGCAAACCACAGTTTAGGAACCATCACTTTTGACCTGTGGTCTCTCAAGTAGGGTGCCCACATAACAGAAGATGCATAAGACATTGCCGTTGGTTGTGTGAAGAAAGTATAAGAACTTTTATTTACATAAAAATAAGAAATTACTTTCTACTATTATTTAATATTCAGCTTATCACTGGATCTCTCAAATGGCCACGCCACCTGCAGTTCCGGAGGCATTCTGCGTGGGAAGCTCCGAGCCACAAAGGCACGGACTGTGGGCCAGCACTGATTGGCACATTTGCTTTCAAAGCATCAGAATGTACTGCAGTTCACTCATACAGTGAGTTCACAGGTTATATTATTTAGTTTTTAACTTAAACTAAGCCTGAAGAAGTGGACAGGTGTCAGAGAAAGACAAGTATCACATGATCTCACTTATTTGTGGAATATAATGAACAAAATAAGGTGATGAACAAAATAGACCCAGAGACATGGAAGTAGGGTTCAGACTGACAAACTTCAGGGCAGGGGTGTGGGGGAAGGAACAGATAAACCAAAGAACTTATGCATATAAGCATAACCAAAGGACATAGACAACAATGCTGGGGTTGGGGTGGAGCGGGGCAGGAATGGGAGGAGGGTGTCAGTAGGGGAAAAAGGAGAAACATCTGTAACAAAAATAAATTAATTAAAAAAATAAATAAGAAAAAAGATTCTTGAAAAAAATCACACCATTTTTGTAAGATAATTATAGCAAGCAGGCATCCGAGAAAAACAAAAGGCAAAACTGACACTTTTATTTCTAACGTGAGCTTTTCCACAGCTACATTTGAAAGTAAAAATGACGATAATCTCATTGAATTTATGAAAAGGCAGCTCCTTAAAACCCCAAAACTTAAAAATTATTTGAAAGAGTAGCTGAAATATGGACTTACATCTAACTAGCATCAATGCTGAATCTCACCTAAGTGTAGAGTACGTTTTGGGATATTAGCTACAGTCAGTATAAAGTTATCATGATTACCAAGATTAAACAACCAGAACATGATAGTTAATAACCTTTTCTAGCAAGATAAAAAAATTTTGTCCTGATAATAAAGTAAAACAATTATTTTTAAATGTTTATTTCATCTTTATCTCATTAAAAATTTCGATGTTGGTCTATTTTATAATGTATTTACTCTATATGATAATAAATATGTAATTTATAAGTAAATCAACATACACATATTATGGGTGCATGCCCAAATTCTTTGACTGATGGCCATGTGGGATAGAAGGCAAGATCCAGCATCAGTCGCAGCATAAAACTTCCATGAAGCTAAGTCTCTCCTCTGATCTCATGACCAATGTTGAGACTAAGCAATTTGTTCCTTAGTAAGTCATGCCATTGGTAATTTAAAAATTACTTGTCATTTGGGTATTTTTTAATACTTTTTTCTTTATTGATTTTAGAGAGAGAGGAAGGGAGAGGGAGAGAGAGCTAGAAACTACGATGAGAGAGAACATCATTGGCTGCCTCCTGCATGCTCTCCACTGGAGATGGAGCCCATAACCTAGGTACGTGCCCTGATGAGGATCGAACCGGCGACCTCTTAGTGCATGGGTTGATGCTCAACCGCTGAGCCACACGAGCCAGGCTTATTTGGGTATTTTTAAGGGCTTTGTCATGGAACCTCAGAAGAAAAAATGCCATGAATCAGCTAGTCTTATTCTCCCAGGTTTGAGAACCTGAAGGAATTCTGAATCCTATAAATTTACTTTGCATACAATCTCCCAGCAGACTCTAAGCCAAATCTATTCATGACAGCTTCTTGGGGCACCCCTGCAAATACAGGACCAGGTGTGACTGTCTACCTGGGAGAATGTCAGACCCCTGAACCCCCTGTTTTCCCTTTTCATCTACTACAGCTGCTTCTCTTTCTCCCTGAGCCTCACACTTGGTCTCCCAGGGCCTGCCTCAGGCCTGCTTACTTTGAAGACCTACTTTGGACTTTGCTCCAGTTTATGACCTTGGCTCATCTCATTTTGTTTTCAAAATGCATGCCACACCAGCACCACACATCTGCAGCTTTGACCGAGATGCTCCTGCCATCTCTTGCCAGGCTTCCCATCTTCATGATAGGAGGGCCATTGATACATTATTATATTAAATAGAAAAGATAGAATCCAAGGACCATTTCTGGAGACAGCTCCATGCCCCAGTGAATGTCTCTTTTAACTCTTTCAGAGACTCTAATAAAGGTCGAGGACACCCATTGATCAGGGGAAAGAATTGTGTAAGACAAAGTCTCTGCCAGAACCTTTCTGTTTGCATTAATTACTCTCTAATTTCCTCTTTTCAGCTATCATAACCTGCAAATCTATATCCCAGGCTTTCTGTTCTTCGCTAAGATGAGAGAACAAAGCGAAAACTGAGGACAGGAGAAGATTCTTCCCCTGTTTACTTTCCATAACCCCTCCATTCTGAGGCTTTCTTACTTGCTGTTTGCAAGCTCCGTCCTTTGACCACGTGCTTTCTTCACCACAACAGATCTCTTGGCTGCTGTTCTGTAGGCCTCCACTTGCCTTGTTGGGCCCTCTTGATTTTAAACTAAGAGTCTATATAAATTTGTAAAGTAACCTCCAATATTTCTTCTCTAAGAATCCCTTTTATTATTTTCCCTCCAGTTTTCTTATTTTAAAAGGTTATGTATATTAACCTACTTGCAAGTCATATTTTTATTCCCAAATAAAAAAAATCAAAGATATAAGTGACTAAAAATTAGACAGACTAGGGAAAGGTTGCCTCTATCTAGGGGTGATGGGTGCTCATGGCACTACCTTCATGCTGGGGAAAAGGAGACAGGTGCAATGCAACCCCAAGGTTCTGCTCCCCACTACTGAGTGCTGGGACTTGGCTAAGTCTATATATATCCACATTTCTTTGTGCAGTATTTTTGAAACTTGACCTTACTGTCTGATATTATTCACTTATGCTTAATATAGCAGGTCCTCAAATAATGTCATTTTGTTCAACATTATTTCATTATAATGAAATATATCATGATGAGAAGGAAAAAAAAATCGATTTCCAGCTGGGGCCACTTTGTGTGGAGTTTGCATGTCCTCCCATGTCTGCATGGGTTTCTCCAGGGCCACATTCCAGACACATGCATGTTAGGTGAACTGGCATGTCTACATTGTCCCAGTCTGAGAGTGTGGGTGTGAGTGGCTCTGTGATGGAAGGATGTCCTGTCCAGGGTGGGTCCTGCCTGGAGCCCTGAGCTGCTGGGATAGACTCTGGCCATCCCTGCCCCTGGACTGCAATGAAGAGATAGGACAATAATTCCCTTACTTGTTTTTATTAATCTTCCTTAAATGTATGTATAGCTCACATTTATTTCACTGTTCAATATTAGAACTGTTTGGGTCTTTACTTAGAAGTTTACTGATGTTTTTGTGGCCAGAAATATGCTGTAGGAACTTAACTCTTCTTTATATCAATTAGCTGATGGTAATATTGGTTTTGTTGCACATCTTTGTTTCACTTAAAGTCACAGTTTCCAAGAACCTATAGACCTCAACTAAGGACCTACTCTGTATATTTACAATTCAAATATGGGCCACAGTTTTGGAGCTGAGTATAAAACCTGAATCTACAAATACTGAAATTCAAGAGGCTGACATATAAGAAGGTCCAAGGTGAGGCAAAGTCATTTCTCTTTAACTCAATTCTAATTTTAATAAATCATCTCTTAGGATGTATTACATAATAATTATTTCAAGCAAGTTTTATTATTATTGTTGTTCTTATCATTATATATTTTTACCCCAGACACCAAAATCATTTTTACAATAAAGCATGTATGCTAAAAACTGTAAAGAAAGAGCCATGTAATCCAAATAGCCTAAAAACCGATTTGCATTAAAACATTTCATTATGAGTTGAATTTTGGACACATTTTACTAAAAAAAGAGACTTACATCAAAATATGACTCTGAAATCACTGTTATGATGTCAAACATTAGAACTCAATAAAAGTTACCCAGAATAAACTTTATTACAGTCCATATTGTGCCATTAACTTTTTTCATATAATAAACATAATTTATAAAATATTTGCAAAACATGATCTTTTCCATTAACTTTTTATGCAAAACTTCTACTGAAATTAGTAGACTGAGTACAAACAATGCCAATAACATTTTGTCTTTACAGTCATCTCACCTGCATGAGAAAAGTTATTTTCTTTTTTTGTACTTTTTTGGATCCATAAATGGCTATTTTACTTACCATCTGGAAGTGTGGGGATAATATAACTCATCATTATTAACAGGAGTCGTTAACACACGATGGTTTACAACATTTAAATACTCCTCAATGTGAATCTGTTACAAAAAAGTTCAAGTTTAGGCCATTATAGTGGACTTAAGATACTCAGCTAATTTACTTCATTTCATTAGGTTAACACTCCGAATCGTATAATTAAGCCAAAAGACACAATACTATGTGTTTATAGGCCTAAGGTATAATTAGGCATCTCAAGGCCAAATTACTTTATCCCAAAAAGGGTAATAAACAATTGAGACTCAAGGCTTGAGTGAGTGACCTGTAGCACTCTTCACAAATGAAACTATGCACAATAGTCAGTAAATCGCTTAGCCAGGTAAATTTACTAGGCAATACAGAGATGGAATAATGTCCTTCTCTTACAGCGACTTCAAACAAGCATCTGAGGAAAGAATTTGGCCTTCAGGTAACATTATTTAAAATGGCCAACCCAAAGACTCCAGCTGGGTCCAGCCCTCTCTCCATCAGGTAATATAGGACAATGGTGTGCTGGTCTGATGAGGCTACAAAATCAGTCACATCTCTGACAGCCTCAGGAGCTGAGTGATGAAGCTTATAATCTGGTCGAGTAAAAGGCTGAGGCAAGAATGAAGATACTGACCGAGGTCTAGAAAATGGAGATGGTCCTTGTTTGGACCCATGGGCGAATACATCCTTGCTGTGTTTTATTTATTTTTTATTTTTAAAGAAATTGAGATATAACATATTAGTTTCAGGTATATAATATAACAATTTGATATTTGTATGTTTCATGAAATGATCACCACAATAAGTCTAGTTACAAAGTTTTTTTCTTTTTTTTTTTTTTTTATCCTCACCCGAGGATATTTTTCCATTTTTTTGTACAGATAGAGTGGGAGGGAGAGAGAGGAAGGGAGAAAGAGAGAGAGAAACATTGACGTGAAGGGACACATCGAGTGGCTGCCACCCGCATGACCAACCAGGGCCAGGGACACACTGCAACCGAGGTACGCGCCCTTAGCGGGAACCGAACCCGGGTCTCTCCGGACCGCAGGCCGACGCTCTAACCGCTGAGCCAAACTGGCCAGGGCCAAAGTTTTTTTCTTTTAAGATCTTTCTAAGATCTAATCTCTTAGCAACTGTCAAATATACAGTACAGTATTTTTAACCATAGTCATTTTGCTGTACAGACATCTCAGGACTTATTTTTTATAACTGGAATTTGTACTTTAGGACCACCTAACCCATTTCACCTGCCCCCATCTCTGGCAATCAGCAGTCTGTTTTCTGTATCTAAGCTCAGGTATTTTTTTTTAGGGGTGGGCTGGAGAGTTAGATTCCCATATAAGTGAGATTCCCATACAGTATTTTTTTTCTTTGTCTGACTTATTTCACTTAACATAATGTCCTCGAGGTCTATCCATGTTGTCTCAAATGGCAAGGTTTCTTTTTTATGACTGAATAATATTCCATTGTGTGTATATATTTTTCTTTTTCCATTAATTGATGGACACTTAGGTTGCCACCATGTTTTGGCTATTGTAAATAATATTGCAATGAATGTGGAGGTGCAGACATTCATTGCACTATTATTTAGTTTTTGAGTTAGTGTTTTTGTCTTCTTTGGACATACATCCTTGTTTTACAAATGAATATTCTTTTTTTTTTATCCTCACCTGAGAGGACATTTTTTTTTTTGCATTTATCTTCAGACAGAGTAGGAGGAAGAGAGGGAGGAAGAGAGAGAGAGAGAAAAACATTGATGTGAGAGAGACACATTGAGTGGTCGCCACCCACACAACCCCAACCGGGGCCAGGGACAAACTGCAACCGAGGTACATGCCCTAGCAGGAACCAAACATGGGACTCTGGTCCATGGGCCGATGCTCTAACTGCTGAGCCAAACCAGCCAGGGCTTATTCTTTTTTTTTTCTTTTTTATGTTTTCTTTTAGAGAGAGAGGGAGAGGGAGAAAGAGATAGAAACATTGATGAGGGAGAACGTTGACTGGCCACCTCCCGCATGCCCCCAACTGGGGATTTGGCCCACATCCTGGGCATGTGCCCCAATCAGGAATAAAACCTCTGACCTCTTGGCACATGGGTTGATGCTCAACCACTGAGCCATACCAGCCGGGCTGAATATTATTCTTATCTGAAGATTGGAATCTCCCCTGCCCTAAGATCTGTCTATAACAGTGATTTTAGAATTTTTAAAAACTTTATTTAATTTTAAATATGTTTTTATTGATTTTTCAGAGACAAAGATAGAAACATCTATGTGAGAAAGAAACGTCAATCAATGGCCTCCTGCACACCTCCTACTGGGGATTGAGCCTGCAACCCAGGCATGTGCCTTGACTGGGAAGCAAACCCATAGAAGGATGCTCAATCCACTGAGCCACACTGGCCAGGTGCCATATGAATTTTTAAAACATGCAATACCTTACTACTTAGTCTGGGGCACTGACCTCTTTGTTCTTACACATTGTCAAATAAAATAATGACAACAGCCAACACAATAATAGCTGTCTGTTGTGAATGAATCAAAATTATACCTTTTTTTTTTCAGATTGGCAAAAATATATTTTTTGTGTGTGCTGCAGAATTTTAGTAGTTTACATGTGCCATGAGATGAAAAATGTTGAGAACTGTTGGTCTATAACAGTGAAATCCTGATTTACTTTTTCTCTGTTCCAAAATTGGTATATTTCTTTGGTTTTACCCATTGGGATTCAAAATTACAAAAATGACTATTTTCAAAATACTTAAGCTCTTTGGGAAAAGTCAAATCTTATTTTTTAGAATCCCAATGAATCTGATAGAAACTCTACGATGTATCAGTATAAATCCTTTTTGGTCAGGCATATTGTTAGACTCACAGTGATTATTATCATTTGTTGTTGTTTGTTTTTTGTTTTTTGTTAATCTGCACCTGCAGATATTTTTTCCATTGATTTTCAGAGAAAGTGGACAGGAGGCAGGGGAGAGAGAGACATCGATGTTAGAGAGAGACATTGATTGTTTGCCTCTTGCACACGCCCTGATGGGCCTGGGGATGAAAACAGCAACCCAGGTTCATGCCCTTGACTGGGAATCGAACCCGTGACCCTTTGGTGTGCAGGCGGACATTCTAACCACTGAGCAAAACCAGCCAGGGCTAATAGTGATTATTTTTTAAATTACTTTTATCAAATCACATTTTAGAAGTTATTACTGCATAATTTTGTATTATCAATATCTTAAACTCCTTGTGGGATATGACAGGATATGAATCAATCAATCAGTTAATCATCATCATCATTTTTTAAAAGGAACAGAAAAAGCTGATGATCACCCTAAATCCACCTCTATTACAGGTTTTCAGAGTCCCATGCGAACCACAGTTCTTTTCTTCTAAAGGACTCTTTGTCTCCTTCTGGTGTTTTTATTTAACATCTAAAGTTCTACTTACTCTTAACCCCGTCTCAGTCCTTTTGATTGCTGTTTCAAGATTCCGAATATCTAGAGTCTCTCCTCTTTGCTCAAGTGGGAATTTTGTTAATTTCTCCCTTAACTGATAAAGGTCTTCATGGACCTGTAGGTGTAAAAAATATGAGATGTTAGAAGAATACATATGTAGTCCACTTAAAACATTTATTTTAAAGGTTTGCAATTTGCTTGAATTGCTAGAGACAGTAAGGTTGCTTTTATGATGTTCACTGAAAAGGACTGTCTTTATGGCTCTAAGAGAGTCTTTATTAGAATGTTCCATTACTGTCTTTTAGATTTTGAAAAGCCAAGCTTTTATACAATTGTCTATTTTTCCATTCCCCATTAGAAGCAAATCTAAGCTAAAACTGCAACGCAAATGGCTTTTGCTTTCTCAGATGGTAACGCGGTTGAGTCAGGGACCATAAGAAGTTTGCACCAAAGTTGGATTTCTACTCCTCGGTTAAAAGGTGAGAAAACAGAAAACTTTTAGCAAAGAGAGGTTCTAGTGAAAACTGTGCCTTTCAGAGAGAATTGTAAATATGCTGACAGGGCCTGTTGGCTTTCCATTCCAGCTGGATCTTCTCACTAACTGCTCTGAAGAAACAGTTCTAGTAGGTGCGTGGCCTTGATTTTGTTTGATGTAGTCAGAAATGAAAATGACCCATGAGGAAAAAGCAATCATTGTTACTACTTTTACATTTTCCTTCAATTTTTATTTTCCTTTGAAATGATGAATATCTCTCCAATGTCAAGCGCCCTCAGAATTAAAATGGGCATTTTGACATTAGACAGCACAAGATTCTCTGAATTCATATTAGAAATCAAACTTCAACAGATAAATACAGATGGCACCAATTATTGGATGGGCTGCTGCCACAAGAAAAACATTTTGTGATGCAAATTTATGAACCCAACACCTGTTTCACCAATAGTCACACCAACAACAATCTGCAGACTGGGTTGCTAAAGGCGTTTTGAAATGGTTTACCTTTCTCTGTTAGTCTAACTGGACTTACACATTGATCCAGCCTATGTTATCGATTACTCCAGAATATTCCCATGGAGCCAAGTATTCAAAAGATCAGAATTTGCATCTTTTCACTGATGGGCATCATGGTCTGGCAGACACATCTGGTCATCTGTACTCTGCGCAAATTGTCATGTAAAGCCTTAGGGCTCGCAGACTGAAACATGAACACACCCACTGCTTGCTTAATAGGCACTAAGGATGAAGGTGTACTTCTTTCACTTGTTTTGTCCAAATTACTGCTACAAGCTGATTTACTGTCTATTGCCTAAAGACATTTTTAAAGTCCACAGAAGCAGTTCAAGGGCAAGCCCCACTTTTGGACCCCTTTGAATTTCCTTCTTGTAGCTCTAGTCTATGTAGCTTCATGTGCCTTTCTGGAATTTATGCCCGGCAAGGGCTAGAGAGTGAAAACTGCCCTGGATTACTAGCAGGGAACCAAAGGTCTGATTTCTTCATCTGCCTCGTGTGGGCAATTATACTTTTTTGTAGAGTCATGAGATATGTATAGGTCTGGTACATAGTAAGAATTAGTAAAAGGCAGATGAACATAATTCCTTGTTCTATCACTAGTCACCCGATGTCCATGTACACCATCCGCATTTTCTCTGGTTTCTTCACCAAGAAAAGAAAAGAATTATTCTGCTTCATAGAATTTTAAATGAAAATGAGGCAACGTGTGCGACAGTGAATGACTATAGGCTTTGGAACCAGACAGATGTAAACGAGAATCCTATTTCCTCCTTTACTAAACTGAGCTTGGCAAATTTACCTAGCTTTTTAGAGCCTTAGTATTCTCATTTATAAAGTGGAGATAAATAGCCGCCTCTCCGAATAGTGGCAAGAATAAAATGAGCTAAAGATGTAAAGTGCTTTATATAGGGCCAGCCACTTAGGAGGGCACGGAACAGATGTTAATTCTCCTCTCCTGAACTGTAAAACCTAGCGAAACTCCTTGCACAGAACTGGCACCTAGTAAATGTTCACTGATTTGAATTGCTCTCTTAATCTTTCTCAAGAGCTTTCACTTTACTTTTCTTGACTGATAGTTTCCTCTCCCCTCTTAATAACCACACATCTGTTTGTATAATTGCACTAGAGACAAGTACTGTAGAAAATCTTTCACAACACTTGGCTAGGAAAAGAGATTAAGTTCTAAATCTCTGTTCTTTCTTCAAATAGATCCAATCTACTATATTGAAATTTTACGTGTCACCCATCATCTCTGTGATCATGAAAGTCATTACTTTCCATACATTTTGAAATGTACTTGGAGAAAATTATTATTATTATTTTAAATACGTTTTTATTGCTTTTAAAGAGAGAGAGGAAGGGAGAGGGAGAGAGAAACATCCACAAGAAAAAACCATAGATCTGCTGCCTCCTTACACCCTCCCACCCCATTGGGGATTGAACCCACAACCCAGGCATATGCCCTGACTGGGAATCGAACTGTTGACCTCTCCATGCATGGGATACTGCTTAACCAACTGAACCACACTGGCCAGGGCAGAAATTATTATTTTGACAGTTTGGGGATTGGGCTGCTTAAGAAGAAGGTCTTGAAATATTTAATGCAGTAAAGATTTGCTCTAGAATTTTAAAGAGCCCTGCAATCAGACTTCACATTGTCAAAAGCAGTCTCATAATTCCCATTGTATTCTCTCTGCTAAAGATAGAGTTTGGCTGAGTCATTTTAATCATACGTTGTGTGCTTCTGGCAAAAGAGAGAGCAGGTTTGGTAAGAAAGACGGTGTTAACATGAAGGTCAGTTAGCTCCAATATTTCCAAGGTTGGTATTAACATACAACTGTTGGATTTTTGAAATATGATTTCCAAAACTAATTAAAAAGATCATTTTGATAGCAAGACTAGGTAATCCTTGTTGCACAAACATATGTTTAAAATTTGGGTCAAGCAAGCATTTATAAAGATATTTAAAAGCCACCACATTATTATTAATAAAGTATAAAAACAAAGCTTCTAAAAATTACTAATAAAAGAAAGCATTTGCAGACATCCCAGAGTCATCCCCACCCTTCTTCAAGATGGTTTCACAAACATGCCACAACATGTTTAAGACTTATTGCCTTGGGCAAGTTACTTTATCTCTTTGTACTTTAGTTCCTTCTACTGTATACTGGGGATAAAATAATACCTGCTTAACAGAGTTATTGTTAGAACTTAAGAAAATCTAAAATTCTCAGCAGTGTCTGACTCTCAAGCGCTGGCTACTATTTTAATTGTAATGATGATCATTATTGCTATTATTATTTTCTGAACCAAAAAGGAAAACATGGACTTTAATATATGATCTGACAATGGAACAGGATATTCACAATCAGGACTGTGCTGGAAAATCTAAACATCTAAGGCACATGCTTTCATAAGTCACACAGAGTTTATAATTAGAGTACTGATGAAAAAAAAGATACTTTCTTAAGTATTTTAGATATTTTATCAAAATATTACTTTTACTATTAATTTGTATCAACTATTATGTTTTCTAAATAATAGTCAATGTTAGTCCAGCTCCATTTACTTTTGAACAGAACATAAGTAATTGGAGACTAAATTAATGAGTAGATTATTATCCAGTCATCCAGGATTGATGTGCCCTCCTGTATTAGGTAAAATGGGATATCCAAAAAATCAATTTGTAATGGGAAATAAGACATACTTTCTTTGCCAAATTGCAATTAAGAACGGAGTAGTCCTAGTTAAAAAGACAGGCTAAAATTAATTTTTCTTTTTCTTCCAGCAACTTAAAGAGACTTAAAAAGACTCAGAAATGTACACAAAACTAAGTCATATTAAATGGTAAGAGACCAAATCAAATAATAGCTACCATCTATTGAGTGTTATACTTTGCTATTTTTTAATCCTTGCAAGACTCCTAAGAGGGAATTTATATTATTATCTTCATTGTATGCTTGAGGGAATGTGAGGTTTAAAGTGGTTAAGTAACCTGTGCAAGGTCACACAGCTGGCTAACTGGTGGAACTGTTCAAATCCAGGGCCTTCATGCCTAACCATAGTGCATGGAGAATATCTACAATTATACAAGTGGATGTAAATATGTAAAGCTCGAGGTTGGTGAAAATTCAGTGAAAAGGGCAGGGTTTAAATATCTAGTGGAGCAAAAAGTGCCAAGGGAAGACTCTCTTTTTATACCAGGATTGATGGATTGAAAAGGCAGGAGAAGTTTGCTTGCATTTTCTATGTATATGGGTGACTCACAACACTCATCTTTGGTCAGTTTCCTTTCTAAATGAGTTAAAATATATATAGCACTTAGAACTGTGCATGATACCTGGTAAATACTGTGTTAGCTTTGATTATTGTGATTTTTTCTTTAAAATTGTATTATAGTTTATGTTTTACAATATGATCTAAATAGTAGCTCTCAACCTGAGCATGATTCAGAATTGACTGAAAGGCTTGTAAAAAACAGATTGTGAGGCCCCACCCTCCAGTGCTTCTGATTTAGTAGGTCTGGAGAGGGTTCTGAAAATTTGCATTTCTCACAAGTTCCCAGCTGGTGTTGATGATGCTAGTCCTTGGACCATACTCTGAGAACCACTGATCCAAAGAGTTGCTTAATGTATCTGATTGAGACACAGACCAAATATACCACATTATGGCAAAGCAAGTGGAGATTTGAAGTAACACTGCTTTTCTGGCATATATATATATATATACACACACATACATATACACACACATATAAATTATATAATTAATATATGTGGTTATTTTTATATATACATAATTTATGTATGTATATATTATATAATATATACACATGTATTATATACAGGGGTGGGCAAAATTAGGTTAATAAATATAATACAATAATTAATAAATAATACAAGAAGAAACTGTTTTGCATACTCACAACTGTAAACCTACTTTTTCCCACCCCTGCATATATACACATATCTATATATATATATATAGCTATAGACACCTATAACTATATATATATATAGATATGTGTATATATAGTAAAACTAATTTGACTAAGCTAATAGCAAAGGAAGTGCACTTTACAATGAAGAGAAATTACATAGCTTTGGGGAAATTGAGTCAATTTAGTTAGCGGTGTATCTAAACCAAGCCATATATCATACAGAAGAGAAAACTGAGGCCCAGAGAGGTGAAGTGACTGGCCCAAAGTTGCCCTAATGGAAGAATGTCATTGCCTAGATCAGACCTCAGTATTCTGACTCCCAACCAAGTGTTCTTTCCAGTAGATGTACTGTTTATTGGCAGCCTGTCTAAAAGAAAGAAATCACAGCCCCAGGCAGAAATAGAATCCATGCTGCATGTTTGAGTGGCGCTGTGTGCTCGAAAATACTCAGGACTCAGTGGGAAAGTAGGAACCGTCTTCCACATTTTCCTCATTATACATATTCTATATATTACCAGGGAGAATTTTACATTGTATCTAGAGATTAGCCTCAATAGTTAGGTTAACTGCAGGCTCTTTCTCTACACAGCCTTGACTTAGTGTGTCCAGAATAACCCTTTTAAGCAAATGGAGGTGCTGATTAGCATGGATATGACTTCTTAACTCTTCTGTTCCATTTTATGATTTAATGACAACTGACATCGATACCATGTTGTATCCTAGGCTGACTAAAGAGCTACCTCTGGTTCCCACTCTGAAGTGAAAAGACTTCTGGCTTTTCAGTCAGTACACTATTCTACAATCTTCCAAACCACAAGGGGAGTAGCCCCTGGGAAGTAGAATTATCTTAAGGGAAAGTGTGAAATTAGGCATGAGAATTCTCCCTGGATTTTGGTCTCTTAGAGTTGTCACAGGACTGGAGAAATAGAGGAAACGACAGAAAAACTTAATTGCTTTTGTAGTCAAATGAAGTACACTGTTGGGAAGAACTGGCTTTTTCTAGGTAGGAGTCTCCATTAGTGTTACAATTGCTTGGAGTCTGTGAAAATGGGCCCTGGATTTGGAAGCGGTTATGTGTAGTGAATAATTAACCATACCTAAAGAGAGATCTGGTCTTTGCTCTTAGATGCTAGGAAGTGATCTGTAGGCCCCTAAAGTGTCCTACTTGATAGGAGTGTCTTTACTTGGAGACTTTGGCTACTAGACAGTCTAACAATGTGATTTATGATGGGGCTTTGAGACACATTGTATCAGTTCCAACTTTTAGAGGAACTGAAGACTAAAAGCATTTGTCTGACCCCTGGGAAGGGCTGGAAATGAAAGGTCAGTCATATAGGGCAGTGCAAGATTGAGCCCTAATAAAAACTCTGGACACCTAAGTCTCAAGTAAGCTTCCCAGTTGATAATACTCTGTGCACACTGTTATACACTGGGGCTGGGAGGAGGTAATGCTGTCCATGACTCCACAGGGAGAGGATGACTGGGAGACTCTGTTGGGACCCCTCTTAGACTCTGCCCTATGCATCTCTTCCCTTGGCTGAATGTTATTTGTATCTTTACACTATAACCGTAAACATGGCGCCTTACTGAATTCTGTGAGTTATTCTAGCATAATAGCCAATGTGAGGGTGGTCAGGCCTCCCAAATTACAGACAGCTGGTCTGAAGTGAGGGTGGTTCTGAGGACTCCTGAACTTGAGGCTGATGATGTAGAAGAGAGGGCAGGCTTGTGGAGACTGTTCCCTCAGACTTTGCAGTTTGGCTAAACTCATTCTAGGGTGATGGTGAAAAAAAGGATAATAAAAGGTGAGGTAAGTAGTCTTGGGTGTGACTCATAATGGAGAAGTCTATGAAACTGGTAAGTTCAGGGGTTTGTATTTTGGAAAAGGTGAATTTACACAAGTCTCTCCTAGATAGGAGGTAAGAGACGAAAATCCTAGCAGGGAGAAAAATCAGACTCATTACAGATCTGAGTGAGAGTCCTAATCGAGTGACCTTAGGAAAATTACTTCAAGCCTTAGTCAAATGGAACTAAATATAAGAGTTAAAAGTGATGATATATGTGGAAACATTTTTAAAACTATGATATGTAAATGCTTTTTACCAGTTCAGAAATATCTGAGGGCAACTGTCACAAACTGAGTTATACTGGAAAAGTTAAGACTTCCTTGATATTTACCCTTTCAGAAAACATTATTCCCTTGAGTTTTTTACTTTGTCACATTTTATATTCAAAACTTTACCTTGATTTGCAATCTGTTATTTTTTTTTCTTTTTTTGTACAGATAGAGTGGGAGGGAGAGAGAGGAAGAGAGAGAGAAACATTGATGTGAAAGGGACACATTGAGTGGCTGCCACCCGCACGACCAACCAGGGCCGGGGACAAACTGCAACCGAGGTACATGCCCTTAGTGGGAACCGAACCCGGGTCTCCCCGGACTGCAGGCCGATGCTCTAACCACTGAGCAAAACCAGCCAGGGCAACAATCTATTATTTTAAATATATTTTTCTATGTGTGTGTTCCCAAGTAAGGGACTTTTATTCTATTAAGATATAATTGACATGTAATATTATATTAGTTTCAGGGGTAAAATAATGACTTCATATTTGTGTATGTTGTAAAATGATCACCACAATAGGTATAGTTAACATTCGTCAGCACAGTTATAACTTTTTTTCTTGTGATGAAAACTTCTGATTACTGTCTTAGTAACTTGCAAATATACAATACAGTATTATTAACTATAGTTACCATTGCTATACATTACATCCCCAGGACTTATTTGCAAGGTACTTTTAGATCCAAAAATTTGGGGTGCAGTTCATATTTCACTTTCTCCCCAAATTTCTTATCACTTCCCCAAATGTGTATCTCCCCCAACCCCCAACATCACAGATTCAAATTTCTCTGAACAATACATTTTCAAATGCTGCTTCAGTGTGATGTGGATTTTTCTGAAGTAAAGGTTCCTGTGCGGTGCGTGGTCTTGGAGTTTTACCAGAGGCAGAGCAGCAGTCCTGGGGCGCAACCTCCAGGGACGGCACCCAGAGGTGAATTAGGCTCGTCAGCGAGGTCTGGGTTGACAAATTGGGGAGTCTCTGGAGGCCATCTGGGGGCAGCGCTCCAAATGGGTGGGTGCGAGCGGATCGGCGATGCTGGGCTCGCTCCGAAGTGTTTCAGCTGGGCCGGGCCGGGAGGGGCCCACTTCCCACCTGGACTAAGATGGTTCCGATGGGGTCGAAGTTTTCAGTCTCCTGAGCCATGGCGACTGCCGGGTCTCCCAGCGCCGAAACCTTCCCGGAGGGAGCTGGTTCCCGTGGCAACACCACGCTCGGCCGGCCTGTCCTACGCCGGGAGCGGAAGAGGGGGAGAGGGAGGAGCCGGAGCAGCCGGGCCATTCCAGTGCGCGCCCTCCCAGTCGTGTCCCCCCCGCGCGCCGGCGGCCGTGGTGCAGCCCAAGGCGGAAGCGGCTCCCAGACAGACCGGCTCTCCCGTGCAGCTATGGCTGCTGGTGTACCCTGTACGCTCATCACCAGCTGCTCCTCCACCTTCACTGGAGACCGGCTGGTCCAACGTGAGTAGCGAGGCTTTGGGCCGACCTCGAAGCCCTCTTCCCGGCGGGTGACAGCCTCAGCACCGCGGCCTCCTTCCGGGTCTTGGCTCTTCGTCCACTCTGCGCTGGCCTGAGGCCCCTCGGACCCCGTCCATGTGCCCAGTCCCGCTAGGTGTCTGCCCCCGGCCTGCCCGGCTCGCTGTTGCGTTTCTTCCAGGTTTTCTGGCAAAGGGGAACAAACCCTTGCCCCGCCCAGCCCACTAATTATGTTGGGGACCCTTTGAGATGAACCCACAGGCACTCTTGAAATTGTACGGAGTAACGCAACTGTAAGGGCAGGAATTGTGATTATTGTTGCTACCCTTGCTCCTGGATAGAGTTTGTTTCCCCTTGGCTACTCTTAATGTATGTAAGACTTGTTGGCGTTGTCCCACCATTCTGTGGTTATTCACTGGGCCTTGTACCTTATACCTTTGCTTCTGGACTTTCATAGTGGCTGGCAAACTGAGTAACTCTTAAAAGGAACCTAGGCGACGGAGACCACTGTAGTAGAGAGGGCATGGACTAAAGGGCTCTGGGAAGTTGATTATAACTCAAGACTCCTGTTTTCAGTGAGTGGCCGCAGAACAGTGTTCTCAGCTGTAAGGTAGTGAGCACAACTAACCTCTGCCCATCAGTTTCTCATCCGTAAAGTGGTGATAATTTTCGCAAGAATGTTGTACTTAACTCAGAGGCTGACACATAGTAAACATGGATAAATGGCATATGTTATCAAAGCAAGTTCTCTCTCCAACGTCAGTTTCCTGATCCTTAACACTGGACATATGAACTTATCACAGGATTGTTTGAGGAACAGGTGATGGGATGTTTTGAGCACTCTGTGAACTAGACTTTTTTTCTGAACCTGTCAAATGACAGAATTAAGCAGATGTCCCTGTAGCTTCTAGAGGGACATCTAGAGTCTAGCACAAATATTATATAACTTAGTTATCATTTATGATCGATCATTTAAAAGTTCCTTGAGAAGGTAAAAGTTTTAATTGTAGCATTTATACCAAATAGCAATTACTCTAATTATTCCAGTTCCTTACCTCTAAGCAGTACTCCTTCCCATTTATTTCCTTTCTTTTTAAAAAATAGTTTCATAGAAGTAGTGCATACTACTTAAGATTTATTTAGCATATGGAGAAAATTGTCACCCATGGTTTCATCCCCAAACACAAATACTGTTAATATTTCTGTGCATTTCTTTACAGACTTTTCCACAATGCATAGATTTAAAAAAAATTTTAATTACATTTCATTATAATTTTTAACCTGATATTTTCTATATAATTTAAAAATATATTTTTATATATTATATATAAAAATTTAAAATCTTTTATGTATGTTTAAATTTATAAAATAAATTTACATAAATATATAAAGTTATGGATTTATAATATACTTGATATATATTATTTATATAACAGATATATTTATATAAAATATATTTAGTGTATTTTATATATAACATTTTGTAAATAATTTTTATTCTGATATTTTAAATTTAACATTACATTATAAATTAGTGTTCATCATATATTACATCTAGTGAACACATCAAAATTTGCTTAAGATTCTTGGTGTATTTAACTTTCCAAAAGAATTACAGTTGACCCTTGAACAACAGGTTTGAACTGTGTGGATCAACTTATATGCGGATTTTTTTCAATAAATATTGTAAATGCATGTTCTCTTCCTTACGATTTTCTTAATAACATTTTCTTTTCTTCATCGTAAGAAGACAGTATATAATACATATAACATACAAAATATGTGTTAATTGAGTGTTATCTGTAAGACTTCTGGTCAACAGTAGGCTATTAGTAAAGTTTTGGGAGAGTCAAAAATTATGTGTGTATTATGGTGAGTGGGGATCAGTGCCCTTAACCTCCTTCTGCATTGTTCAAGAGTCAACTATATATACATTTGGATTTCCATTACATATAAAAGTCCTTTAAAACCAATCTCAGAAATATTTGTTAAGTATTCTGATGGTTATAGTACTCAGAATTGGGAGATGTTGGCGAATAATATCACTGTACTTTAAAGTATAATGGCATCATTGGGGGAAAATTAATTATGTAAAATAATGCCTCTTTGATAACTCAAAAGCCAACTTTTGTGTTGGTTAAAATTAGATGGCGTTTTCTTTGTGATTCCATTAATGTTATGTAGTGAAAAATAAGGGCAGTTAGTGAAGTGATTACTTGAGTAAGGAAAAGTGAGCTGTAAAAGAGGGCTTTATCATTTCTTCCCAGGTTCATTAGTAGGCTAACAGTGGATAGCATTGGAATGCAGTTATTTGCTGAGCATTTATTCTGTTTTACCATGATTAAAGATTGAATTAGGTTAGGCACAAGTTGAGTCTAATTCTGGTATAAGAGATGGAGACTACCATAATGAATGACCTTTGTCAAGTGTTCGATAATTAGGCCATAGTATGATTTTGGATTTAATCTGATCTACCTTTTTGGGAAGGTTTGGGTTTTTTTCCATGCATCAGAAAAAGGAACCTTTCCTTTGACATCTGATCTATTTTACTGCTTTTAACCAACAATGGGATATATTTCATAACCAAATAAGCAAGTTTGGTATAACTATATATGAAATAAAAATCCCTAACCCTCTACTATGGATAAAGTGCATATGTGGACTTTGTGAGAAATTTTTTTTCCTGCTTTTTCACTCAAAGGCCTTATTTATGGTATTCTAGGTGAATGTCTGACATCAGATAAAAGGAGCATTACAGACTTACAGTGCAGACTTTTCAAGGGAAATGAAGACTCAGGACGCTTGAGGGACTTGTGCAAGGCTTTATGTGGTGTGATAGCAGCTTTCTGTCTCCAAGGCCAGATGTCTTTCCATCTCACAAATATGAACATTTACTTGTATTCTGGAAAATTATATTCTGATATTAATCACAGAGCTAGTCTCTGTGTCAGTTACTTAGCTAAAATGACAATTGAGGTACTATTCCTGCCCTCAAGAGCGATGTAGTGAAAGTGTGTGCTCCATCTGTGAAAACATTAAAATATATACCTAAGTTTTAACATCTTACTACTTTCCTAGAAGGAACTTTAGAAAAGTCCCTGGAGACTTGTTTGGTTTTAAAGTATGTAATGCCAACTCAGCAACCATAAGCCTCAGATTCTACCTACATTTGAACATTTGGAGCAAAATTCTTTTTTCAGTGAAGCGTGGGAATTTGGAGATGTCATCATGATCAAATCAGGCATTTGTATCTGTGTCAGTACTCTTCCCAAACATATCTTCACATTGTTTCATTTGTCTCTAGTATCCCTGTGAAGTCATGAAGTCAGGTTCTCTCCATTTTATAAACGAAGAAACCAAGGCTTGGGAATACTAGGTGACTTGCCAAAAGTGCTCAAGTACTAAGTAGTGGAGCATAAGTTCACATTCAGGGTTTGTATGCAAGGAATGTGTGAATGAAATGAGTTGGAATTCCTTAGCATTCAGAACTATTTGAGGTAGTGGCACTGGAGTAAAATGATAGAGAAGATTAACACTAAAAGAAGGTATTAAAATTATTACATAGGCAAAACCAGCCATCATTTATGGCATTGCTTCTTTGGGAAACCTTCATTCATTTTGCAAAACTGAGTGTTTATAGGTCCATCAGACCCCTGTACTTACAAAAGGATCTTAAAGTAATTCACTAAGGATAACATTCTTATTTCAAAGATAAGGGGCTATTGTACAGCTTAGCTAGCATTGTGTAGCAAGAGAATAGTAATAAGAACTTGGGTCTTCTAATTTGTATTTTTCTGTAGCTGCTTAAGGTATTCTGAGTGAAACCTTTTGGTTTATTCTGGGAATAAATAATAATTTTGCTTGAGCAAAGTTGCTTATTTTATTGTAGGAGGACTCTGCCTTTGATTGGATTGTATAGTTCCAACTCTTCATTTTCTTCAAAGGAAGAAAGATTGGGCCAGCAAGATCTACCACAAGGACCTAGAGTTATCATCACAGTGATTCAGTAGGTGATCAGAATAAAGCAGTGATTTCAGCTGGTAATGGGGGTGGGCGAACTCTGATTTGTTTTTAACTATGACACAATATATTTAAAATTTTTCAATTAACATTAAAAGAAGGCTTAAGATTTTTATCTTTATTGAAGGAAGAATGTTAGGTCATCAACCTAAGGAAGAAGGAAAGAGTAAGTACAAGTTCATATTCTTTCCAGACCCAACAGGACTTAGAAACACGTATTATCCTCCAGTGTGTGTGTGTGAGATTAAAGTTTGAAGAAGTTGTGATTTTCTAAGGTTTTCAGCTCATAAAAATTGGGAAGTCAGGATTCGATTCCAGTTCTTTTATGTATGTGAAATATAATGACCTCTTGGTAACCAGAACTGCACATATTCAAGGTAGAGTAGGGATAGGAGAAATTACTGTAGAAGATTTTACTGTTAGAATGAGAACTTCTATTGCTCATAATAAGTTTACACTTTTTCTTTTATGGTAGTTGGAGACTTAGTAGATAAACTATGATAAGTTTAATAATAATAATGGAAAATGCCCCTGTTGGTGCCCAATTTGTTTCCTTACTTGTGGAGTAGGAAATTTGACTTTCTGTTTGAAGTTTTAGACTAACTCATTCAATTTTGTTGATGAGTGAAATGATTATAAGGTGTTTGTCTTCCTAATAAATGGCACTCCAGTAAATGGTGGTGGAGAGTAGGAGAAGAAACACCAGTGGAAAAGTATTACGCATCAGCCCATGTTGCACCAAAACCATTTATGAGTGTTGTATCATCCTGGAAGATTCTGGGTGTATCTAGAATTAGACCTTTATTTTAGGTCCATCTAACTGTTTGTTTTTATATAGAAAAGGTCAAAACATCTAGAAAGTATGCAGTGGTCATTTGGTTTAAACAACCTCCTGCCTTTTGACCTGTATAATTCCTTAGCAAATAATGACACTCAATAAATAATGAAATCTGATATAAAAACAATTTTTTAAAAGGTTAAAGTATGAAAATTGTCTTAAATATGCCTTGCAAGAATAATAATCTGGACACATTATTTACGTTGGAGCCAGTGCACACAGATACCACAAACACATCTCTAATAATTACTTACCCGGGAAGCAAGATTGACGTAGGTGAAGACAGAGAGGATAGTTGTGAAACTCTTAAAGAGCCTTCCTGATGTTTTAGGTTCAGTAACAAATAACCTACTTAGGGTTTAATTTTCCAGGCAGACATGCAGGCTGGTTCTACACAGAGGTGGGGAAAAGTAATATCGTGCTTGGATCAAAATCAGTATGCTTAGAGCAGGAAAATGTGTGATCATTTGGTAGTAAACAGTACTGTTATGCTGACATAAAAGAATTGCCATTCTGTCTGAATTCTGCTGGGTTGTTCAGGATTTTTTTGTGGAGGAAAAAAAATGAGTGAATTGAGCACTGAGTGATACCCTCTTTCTAGCTCTCGGACGTTAAGTTAACTTTGCATTCCACAAATATTTACATCTCTTTACCTGTGTCATCATTGTTCAAAATATCTCAAACATGTGCCTCAGTCACCTACTTTCTCAGTTAAATGGGAGGATTATCTTCTACTTTCTGTGATTTTTTTTTTTTTTAAAAGCAGGTTTATTGGGATGTAATTTAAATACCATAAAATCTACCCATGTTAAGTGTAGAACATTTCTATCATCCTAGAAGGAAATCTTGTGCCTATTTGTAGTCATTACCCATTCCCACCCCCGGTAACCACTAATGTGTTTTCCATCTTTAAGATTTGCCTTTTCTGAATATTTTATATAAAATAAATCATACAATATGTGGTCTCTTTTTTTTTTTTTCCTTCTTTTTTAGTTAATCCTCACTGGAGGATATTTTTTTCCATTGATTTTTTTTTTTTTTTTAATCATCCTCACCTGAGGACATTTTTCTATTTTTTTGTTCAGACAGAGTGAGAGGGAGAGAGAGGGAGAGGGAGAGGGGGAGGGGGAGAGAGAGAGAGAGAGAGAGAGAGAGAGAAAGAGAGAAACATCGATGCAAAAGGGACACATGGAGTGGCTGCCACCCGCACGACCATCGATGCAAAAGGGACACATGGAGTGGCTGCCACCCGCACGACCAACCAGGGCCAGGGACAAACTGCAACCGAGGTACGTGCCCCTAGCGGGAACTGAACCCAGGTCTCTCTGGACTGTAGGTCGAAGCTCTAACCGCAGAGCCAAATCGGCCAGGGCGACCAGGATTATTTTCAATATTTGAATACAAAGGCTACAGAGTAAATGTTCTTCATGAAACTTACTCTGGGAAATTTATCTCCGACATGTTTACTTTCCTTCACAGTAAGTTAGCATCTGCTGCAGATACTATTGTCATCCTGAGCAGACATTGATATTGTTTGTGAGGTTTTATTACTCGATGCTGATTTGTTTCTGAAAAATTACCATTTGAATATAAAAATTATTTTCATCTCATAATTGTCCTGTTTAGACTTACATATTCTTTCTTCCAGAAAACCACCATCATAAATTGTTTTCAAAGCATCTAAGATTAATTGCCAAATAATGTTTGTGGTTAAGATAATCAAGAAGTAATTTGAGATAGATTTTATCAGTTACAAATGAAAGGCATTTATATCTGTGGTGGGAGGTTATGATGCCTGGCTGTAAAGGCTAGTTTCAGTTCTATGAGAAAGAATAAAATGAACTTTGCACAACCGAAACTTTTGTGTCATGAATATGGCTCAGTCAGTTCCACAAGTTCCTTTGTTTTAGATCAGGGTTTCTCAACCTTAGCACTGTTGACATTTTGGACTGGGTAATTCTTTCTTGTGTGGGCTGTCCTGTGCATTATGGGATATTCAGCAGTATTCTTGGCCTCTGCCCACTAAATACCAGTAGCATCTTCCCGCTTGTGACAACCCCAAATGTCTCCAGATGTTGAAATATGTCCCTTGGGAAGTAAAATCACTTCCCCATAAAGAACCACTGCTTTAGATGTATATGTAGAACTAGATTTTGAATAAGTAATATTAATGTACTTCAAAGAAGCCTCTCACCTTCAAATACGGGTAGAATTGTCCATCAGCAGTGCCACTGGGTTGATAAAGTGGTGTTTGCATGCAGCCCATAAAAATTAGAGGCTGATGGTTCCTCCTTAACCCTCATAAAACACTCCTCCATATTCTCTCTCTCCTTCTTGCCAGTTTGATGTTTTTGTGTGCATGTCTGGGCTATTCTAAGGGCAAGCAGAACCCATTTATCTCCCCTCCTCTGCTTGGAAGTTGTGGTGTCCAGTTCCAGATGGCTAGTGGGAGAAAGTAAACTTGAGGAAAAGGAGGAGGACTGAGTTGGATTTCCTCTGCTTCAACTTTTAAAACTTTTCTACTGTGATATAAAAAGCCCTAAAGCGTGTGGATATGTGAATTTAGGTGTGACCAGACAGAAGGAGTGTGTGAGGGAAAGGTAATTTAAGTGTTGTAAGCAAACCAGAATTGCTGTACCCTTGTAAAGCAGTGGTACGGTGCTTTTTAACTCATTCCGGTTTTTCTTTCCTCAGCAACGTAATACTGCTCCAGTGATTGGTCTGTTATGTGGATTGAAGCAAATATTGCAGATACAGTTGACTCTTGAACAATGTGGGGTTTAGGGGCACCCCCCCCCATGCAGTCAAAAATCCACATGTAACTTTTGACTCCCCCAAAACTTAACTACTGTACTTGTACCAGTAGGCTGCAGGATGATTACTCAGAGAATCACAGATATGAACTTCCCAGCATTTGTGTAAAGTCCCACGTCAATGTTGCACATTTAACCTTTGGGATAGAGGACATATCAGATATTAAACTGATTAAGAACAGATACTACACTTGATCTTAGCCAAAAGGCTGAGAAGCGATTCACATTTAACCTTTGAATGCCACACAGGCTCCATTACGGCAGTATCATCTACTCCTAGTACTTGGGGAGTAATCTGTTAGTTAATAATTGCTACCAAGTATTTGCCAGAACAGCACTCATCTTGTATGACATCTCATGAAATTGTGACTATGGAATTGTAACTGGTTGCAACATATAGAACCATTATGATTTTTATTTTATTTATTTTTTAATCCTCACCAGAGGGAGGGAGGGGGTGGGGGAGAGAGAGAGAGAGAGAGAGAGAGAGAGAGAGAGAGAGGAAGAAAGAAAAAGAAAGGGGGGAGAGAGAGAGAGAGAGAAACATTGATATAAGAGAGAAATATTGATTGTTGCCTTTTTGGGGTACAGGATGACACTCCAGCCAACTGAGCCCCCCAGCTGGGACTGGAACCATTATGATTTTTAAATTTCTTTGCCTATCCTTGCCAGTTAATGAAAACTCTGGTTTTCATTTTTTTTTTTTTTTTTTTGCCAAATCACATTTTGCTCAATTCTTTGCTTTCATAATGACTACTTTCCCCTTCAAATGACGTCAGATTCTGCTGCCTCCTATAATTTTCCTAATTGCTTTCTCTTCTTAGTTTATGCTTGAACAATGGAAAAGAAAAAATATGAGAAGCCATATTTTGGGGAGGGAGGGGCCAGAGCAGCCTAAAGGAGGTGGTTATTTTCTAATTGTAATGTTTCTTACTAACTCCTCAGTGTATCTGTAACCTTCCCTCTTGTCAGTAGTGCTGTCACATTTGCAAAAAGCTATGCTTGGAGGGAGGAAATGCCCATTTACTCAGGGCCTACTGTGTACCTGTGCTTTCTTACGTGGTGTTTCACTTACTCTCGAAGGAGCCATTTGAGAAGTATTTTTGTCCCTATTTGCAGGTGAGGAAATGAGACACCTGTGAGGTTTAATCTATCTTTTTCACAGAGGGCAACATTCAAATGCTGGTTTGTCTGACCCGGTGTGTGTGCTGTCTATTTTTTGGCCTGGCCTTTTCCCATCTGGTTAGTACTGTCATGACAAAGGGGAGGGAGGGAACGTTGGGTCCCAGAAGAGTGTGTACCATGAAAGATACTTGTATCTGGGGTTGAGGTCCTGATACCCATCTGTAAAAGTTGTTTCAGTTCTGTGAGAAAGAATAAAATCAACTGCAGAAGAGCAGTTGATTTCTGGAAATATTATCTTGATTTGAGGTGGCAGCTATCACTTCCCTCAGGGCTTAGAAAATAAGATTTAACCACTGGACAACTTCTCTTCACAAAGAATGCCATGGCTAGTTAAGTGTACATTAATTCTACTGGTATTAAAAGTGTCCTTATTTCTACTAAAGGAGATATGAATAATCCAAAACCATATCAATGTACTTAGTTTGGAATGTACTTTGTCTTTCTTGGCTAGGGTGGATAGGTGAGAGGGTAGGTAGGGATGGAGATATATATATCTATATATCTATATATATATCTATAATAGATATATATAGATATAGATATATATATATACTGGGATATATGTATATTTCTTTCTCCATATGGAAAATACAGTGATTAATAAATACTAATACAAGAATAAACTTTTGCATACTCACAACTGTAAACCTACTTTTGCCCTACCGTGTGTGTGTGTGTGTGTGTGAGTGTGAATGTGTGTGCGCGCGCGCGCGCGCGAGAGAGAGAGAGAGAGAGAGAGAGAGAGAGAGAGAGAGAGAGAGAGAGAGAGAGAATGAATGAGAATGGATATTTGTGGTGATTTGGGAATTCACCTTAGAACTTCAGTTGGCTTCCAAATTCATATTAAAGAGAGTATCACTTCTTACTGATTCTGAACTGTACTAGCTGCCTCCTTTCTTATCAAATGCACACTTTCTCTGAGGGAAGGAACATGAGAATAGACGAGGAGTGCAAAGCAGGGAGGGAGGAAGAGGGAGTCCTTGGATTACTGAACTGAAATACTTCCTTGGCATGCAGACTCCTTAAGCTCTCAAATCTTTCTTTTCATGTGGAACTCCAGGGGAAATAAGTTCACCAAGGAAGTGAGAAAGCAAATAGGTATTGCTGGAGAATTGGTGGCTATGTAAAACAGTTTTTCAAACAGGGAAAGAAATTTATACTTGCACTTAAAACTGGGAAGAAGGTTTATCCTTACTACTGGATCTGGGCTGACATTTAACTTTTCATTTGAAAACACTACAAGTTAACTATTTTAAGCTGTGAAACCAAGTTTGAAGTAACAGACCCAGCAATTAATCATAGTGTTTGTCTCTTAAATGATGTATTACAGCTCCACCAGGTGGCTTCCAACAGTGTGAATGAGACCTGCTGACACCATCCACCAGGAAGAGGGAGAAGCTACTCCTGATTTTATTTGTGCATCATTTGTTTACATCAAACTCAGTTTAGTGGAGGGCAAAGAAGGGAGACCATTGCAGGTTTATTCTTGGAAGTCTGTCTGGCAGCCCCCTCCCCCCACCAAGATCACTATGACTCACTTTTGACATAGAAGTACCCGAAACCCATAGACAGTTTCTGATGGGTAATTGTGTGCAGGCTCACGTATTCTGGTGCCCTCATTTTGACTTATTTTTGGTTTTTATAAAAGGGCGATAGGTTAGTTTTGGCTTGTGACCATTAGACACTTGAGTGTGATGTGGCTCAGATGCTAACTGTCATGACGTGTAATGCATCACAGTGTGGTAGGAAAGGATGTTGATGACCTGAATTCCATTTTAGGCTCTGCTCCTATTAGGCAGGTGACTTTTTTGGCTTTCGGCTTTCTCTTCTGTGGAATAAGTGAATTGTACTGGCTGATCTCCACAAGCTCTTAGCCATGTGCACAAACATTTTAGTGATTTTTGTTTTAATTTGGAAAAAATAAACTTAAATATTTGTAATCAAATATAAAATGTGAGGGAGAAAAGCTATATTTAGTGTAGACATTTACATTTTTTTAAGTTAAACTCTACATTATGATATTGATGACAAAACTAGAGTAAAACAATCTTCAGTTCTCTCTCTAGTTCTAATATGGCACAGATGTGATAATAAAGTCCATATGCAGCCTTGCTGCAAGTATCTGATTAGACAAAATGTTAAAAATAAGTAAATTGAGCTATCAAATTGTTTTAGGCAGCACAAAGAATTTTTTAAAATCTAGCTACTAAAACATTAAAAGAAGAAATTCATTTTTTCAGTTTATTGGTTCTGTTCTTATCAAGGTTTAGAGAAAAAAGAAAGAAATAGCTTCTTTCTTTGTGTTAAGTAAATATCTTAATCATTTGAAAATCAAAGACAGTATAAAATTGAAATTTTAAGAGCTCTTAGTAACACTCATCGGTTTGTTCTCTAGTATTTATTAACAAATGAACCATCCTTAATGGATTCATATGTTCCAAATTGCAGTTGGTAAATGTGACATTTTAATAGATTTTATTTTTCATGTTGAAGACACTGTCTTAAAAAAAAGTATAACCCAAATTTTATTCCAGTTTTTAACAATATAACCAGTTTAGGAAATACTAAGAACTGATTGTGGTGATGGTAGAAATACTAGTCCCATACTCCTTGTGCTTTCCCCATTAACAATAAGTGAATTCGTTATTTTACGCTTTCTGCTTCCACCCTTAAAAAAAGAATCTATTTGTTATTTTTAAAAAATTACCCATGAATGAAAACTAATCCATATGGTGGCTTCAAAACAATCAGCTTATACATTTTTTGCTACTCTCCTTGGTTTAGTTTGCCTTCTTCCATATGTGCTTTTATTGGCATACTGCTATGCCACCTGCTTGGAGTTTGGAGTATTAGCTTTGAATGCATCATAGACTTAGATCTTGGGTTTTTTCCTGTGAGACATTTAGATGAAAACTATATCTTTGATTTTAATAACTTATGTCTTTCTGTTTATTTCCTGCCTGAACTTGTCATAAGGCTTTATGAGGGACATTACAGCTAGTTGCTATGGAATTGATGGATAATTAATAAAGATTATGACTTTAAAAGGAGAAACATCTGTAACAAAAATAAATTAATAAAAATTGCACACACACAAAAAGATTATGACTTTACATAGAAATTAAAGAGATAAGGTAAAATCAGTTTTTCAAATATTGACCCAGACTTTCTGTTAATTTAAGAGTAACAATTTTGGTTTTTGTGAAAAATTTTAGAAAGTTCATTTTTAAGTGTGCCTTATGTCAAAGGTAAAGTCTTAATTTCACTTCCTGCTAATAACCATATAATGAAAGGTTACCAATGGGGGGAAAAATGCACATGCACACATACACGCTTTATATATTATTGTACATGATTCCTAGCCATCGTTTGGAATAAATAATTTCCCTAGATATTTTTGTTGAGCAAAAACTATGGCAGTGTTCTAAATATGTAACCCCAGCTCTGGAATTTAAAATTTAATTTTTAGTTTTCAGTGTTTTTCTTTTCTTTATCCTCACCCGAGGACATTTTTCCATTTTTTGTACAGATAGAGTGGGAGGGAGAAAGAGGAAGAGAGAGAGAGAGAGAAACATCGACGTGAAAGAGACACATCGAGTGGCTGCCATCCACATGACCAACCAGGGTCAGGGACAAACTGCAACCGAGGTACGTGCCCTTAGCGGGAACCGAACCCGGGTCTCTCCAGACCGCAGGCCGACGTTCTAATCGCTGAGCCAAACCGGCCAGGGCAGTTTTCAGTGTTTTTCTAATTGTGAGTTTGAGAAACACTTTACATGTTCATCAGTATTATGCATTGAAAAGGAGTTTGTGGCCATTTGGCTGTATATTATAATAACCCAATTAGTGGCATATCATTTTACTTCTCTAAGTTTGTTTTCCACATCTGTATAGAATAGAAGTTGTAGGTGTGGGCATGAGAGATGGGAGTGTAGGTTAGAACAATTTCTAATGTCCCTTCCATTTCTAAATATTTTATGACATTATAGAAGTGAGATGCTTTGATAGTTCCATGGCCACTTCTATTTTTGGCTTTTACCATAAGAATTTCATTAGTTATTCCCATGTTACACAGGAGTTTCTGAAAGGTTTAGTTATAGTCTAAGTCATTTAATTTGCTTAGTTATTAAACATTTAAAATTTGCATAAGTGTCTTTGTCGAATAAGAATATGAGTTGACTTTCAAAGAATCTGAACAAGGCTGAATATAAGTGAAACTGGGGTCATTTATCAGTATCCATTCTTTTATTTTTTATTTATTTATTTATTTTAATTTTTTTTTTATCCTCACCCGAGGACATTTTTCCATTTTTTGTTCAGATAGAGCGGGAGGGAGAGAGAGGAAGAGAGAGAGAGAGAAACATCGACGTGAAGGGACACATCGAGTGGCTGCCACCCGCACGACCAACCAGGGCCGGGGACAAACTGCAACCGAGGTACGTGCCCTCAGCGGGAACCGAACCCGGGTCTCTCTGTACCACAGGCCGACACTCCAACCGCTGAGCCAAACCGGCCAGGGCTCTTTTATTTTATTAGTTGAATTAATTCATAAGCATTTGGCCTAGGGAGTATGTGTCACTTTTCATTTTATTAATGGTTTAGCTTTAATGCTATCTTCCTTTTAGCTTGCAGTAAGTACGAAATAGTGACAAACTTTTTAGGATTCTTACCAGCTTCCATCTCACATGAAGTTCATAAGCAGTAAAATAAATACAGCTGTCATCTTTTTCTACTTGTTCTTTTCTGGGTGTTTGGTGAGATGACTGTTTTGTTCTCTATCTAATCTAGTCTCAATACTGTTTGTGTTCTTAACGAAAAAAGCCACTAAATTAAATTATGTCACCATTCCTTTATAATCAAATGATCAGAGAAGAAAATACCCTAATGTGAGGCCCTTTGAAATCCTTGTGTTGAAGGGAAGCAGCCTAAGTACCATGTTACTCTGGTATCTTATTGAGAAAATTGGTTTTTCATTTTCCATGGTAATGTTGTGTCATTTATTTAGACATCCTTGGAATAGAAGATCTTGTTGTGGAAGCGACTGCCAATGATGCCGTGAGATATTATCCTTGGACCATTGATAATAAGTACTATTCAGCTGACATCAATCTGTGTGTAGTGCCCAACAAGTTTCTCGTCACTACAGAGATTGCAGAGTCTGTCCAAGCATTTGTGGTTTACTTTGACAGCACACAAGTAAGATGTTGTTTTCCATGGAACTTTGGATATGAAATTATTTTGTGCTTTCTCTATTTTCCCCTGCTTTTTGTATGTGAGTTCTCTTAATGTCTGTTTTTATGCTTTTGCTTGTATGTTTGTTTTTCCTCCCTCTAGAAATCTGGTCTTGATAGTGTCTCTTCATGGCTTCCCCTGGCAGAAGCATGGTTACCTGAGGTGATGATCTTGGTCTGCGATAGAGTGTCTGAGAATGGTAAGACACTTTGATGGGAGGGTGGTAGTTTGTACATAGGTTTGCCATTCCTTGGTAAACAGAGTCCCTTTTTTTCTTAACTTAGAATAGCATATCTTCATGTGACTGTTACTTTACAAAAATATTTTCAGCTATTTCTCTTTGGAATCTTGCAATATTTGCTCTTTTTTCTTCTTTTTAAAAAAAATAATGGACACTCTGGGTTTGAGAAATCATTTTCTTTATATTGCTTTACTTTGGATTCCTAAATAATATTGTCATTAATGGAAACACATTGAGATTTGTGGATAGTATTGCAGCAATATTCATATTTTATTTTAAATTTATATACTGATTTGAGAGAGAGAGAGAGATCAATTTGTTGTTCTACTTGTTAATGCATTTATTGGTTGATTCTTGTATGTGCCCTGACCGGGAATCTAACCTACAACCTTGGTGTATCAGGACTACACTCTAACCAACTGAGCTACCCAGCCAGGGCTCACATTTTATTTTTACTTATAAATAATGTTTTGCATATTATTTTAGGTGTAAACCGACAAAAAGCTCAAGAATGGTGTATAAAACATGGCTTTGAACTGGTAGAACTTAGTCCTGAAGAGTTGCCTGAGGAGGACGGTAAGTGTTTATGTTGTGAGAAAACATGGCATGTGGATTGAGATATGAGATTATGTAATTCTTGAAAGAAGAATCACAGTGGGATTCAAAAAACATCCTTTTTTCCCCAGCTGCTTGAAAGGATTTGTGTAAAATTCATGGATGTGGTCTTAACCGTTAATCAAATAATCCATCTATTTGGGTTCATTATCCATTTTAGGACTTTTGAAATGTTTGTTTTTCTTATGCACAAAGGTAGAGGATTTCTATCTTAAATCCTAGTCATTTCCCTAATGTCTTATCCTTTTTCCACATCCAAAAAAGGGGAGTTTGACTTGTGGTCATAACTAGGTCAAGTTTATGTGCCTTATTTGAATTCCTAGTAACCTCAGGCTGAATCCCCAAGAACCATAGTGGGTATGTCAGTCCTATTTGTATGGCTTTTGGACATTTGAAACCAAAAATAGACTCAGAAAGCCCTCTTAGGGTAGCTCTGCATTTAACTACCTTCTACTACAGTCTGGACCTTCTTCTATTTCTTCCCCCTCTTCTTTTCTTCTCCCCTATTTCTCTTCTCATCTTTACTCCTTCCTAGTACACTGATGCTAGCTACTGTGGGATGTACCAAGACAAGATGGGTTTTGGCCTGTCAAGACCTTATAATCTGATACAAGAGGTAAAACAAGTATATACATAATTGAATTACCAGTGAGACATCATAAGTTTTATTAAAAAATATTGGTACTGTGGTATTTTAGAGACAGAAGAGATCATTTTGAAGAATGAATTGCATCATGAACTCTTACATGTCAGTTGACCCATGGGGAAGAAATGGAAAACATACTGACGTTGTGTTTAGAGGGCTGGTGGGGAGGTGGCATTGAGAACATGTCAGTTGTTCCAAAAGACATTCTAGACAGGGGCAACTGATGTGAATTAAATTACACAGACAGGATATCAGGAATCCTTACATGAAACATTTTTTAAAGGAATTAAGAAATGTCTTTCTATATTATACCTTGTTTAGAATTTTTTTCAAAATTGCTACCTTTGGGAATAAAACCTTGCCAGAGAAGAACAAGATAAAAAATGAAATAAAAGGCTGATTTTTCTCCCTGTACATTTTTAAGAATATTGAAAATGAACAAATGCAATTTCGCCTTCCATGTTTTTGTAGTCCCCTAAAACGTGTGCCCTGTTTTGTGTAGTCACTTATTTTTGGCACTAGAATTTTCTCTTCTTCCTATTGTCGTTGAGAGTCAGTATTTGAGTCATTTATTTACATCTGTTTTAATTTTGGAATCTCTGCTCCTTTATACTCCTACATTTTTTCTTGCTCCTTGTCTGAACAGTGTTCTTATATTAATTCAGCTTAATCTTAAAATAGATTTTGACATATCATCTTTAGATAATATAAGTAAAACCAAAACCTTCTTTAATGCAAACAATTCTCAAGCCATATACCCTCATCCTTTATTTACATGTATTATTCGAATATAATATGAGACTTTATGTTTGTTTGTATTAAATTTCATCTTACTGGCTCTTCAGGCCATATTTTTGGTTACTGGTTATATCATCTGAAGTATTATTCTTTCAAGAATCGAATCATTCATAGTTAAGATAAATGTGCCTTTATTTCTTCACTTAAACATTGATAAACTTATTTTTGTAGAGTCTTTTTGGTTTAATCCTCACCCTATTTCTGTTAAGTTGGTAGGTTGGTATTCATCAAGCCTGCCATCATTTATGCACTGTATTAGGCAGTGGGAATCATGAACTCAGTGAGACACAGTTCCAGCCTTCAGCCATATGCAGTCTTGTGGTACTCATCTGAAGGATCTCCATTTCCTTCTATTGTTGTTTTTGTTTTTTGTCAACCCTCACCTGAGTATATATTTCCATTGATTTTTAGATAGAGTAGAAGGGAGGGAGGGAAGCAGGGGGAGACAGACAGAGAGAGACATCCATGAGAAAGAAAGATATATCAATCGGTTGCCTCCCGCAGGTCTGGGGCCTTACGCTCTAACCGCTGAGCCAAACTGGCCAGGACAGATCTCTATTTCCTTTATACACATTCATATCTACAGTGTAAATAAGAGTACCACCTTATTATTGGTGTGCTAACTGGGATTAGTGCCTTGTTTAGAGTAGTATCAATTGAATTCCAGTAGCAGGATTGTACCAATACTAAACTATGTTGTTGGGTATTTTTAATGGCACTTTGCTGGTCTCTTACACTCTGGTTATAGTAATTTTATTTCTCACTCTTCAACTATCTTTCTCTCATCAAGAAATTGTTCTCTCGATATTTATTATAAACAATAATTATTTTATGGTTGCCAGGACAAGAAAGGGCATTTGCAAGATGTTTTAGCGTACTAAGAGGGCCACTCCTGCCTTCATTAAAATCATTATAAATAACCAAGATTGGTAGTACTAACATTTTGGGGAGAATATGAATAAGTGCCATTGGTGAGGCAATGGGAATGATGTTATTATTTGAGCCTCCTATATTGTGTGTTTTTCTCATTGTTTTTGTTTATAGAATATTCTTATTGGGGCTCTGAGCTCTGTATTTGTTTAATTTTTTTCTCACATAGGTTACAGTTTGATAAAGTAATAACTACATAATCAAAATAATTAAGCCACATTTATTTAAAAATGTGGTTTGGGGTATATATGTACACATGTATGTATGTATAAGTACATGTATAACTACATATATTTTACCTCACTGATTAGATGACTTCCCAGAATCTACAGGAGTAAAGCGAATTGTTCAAGCCTTGAATGCCAATGTCTGGTCCAACGTAGTGATGAAGAATGGTAAGTAACTGGGGACTGATTGTCCTGAGGAGTTTTCCTCCTATTTCTTGTAAGTTTAGAATTATTTGGATATATATGAAACCATAAGGGTTACATGAAATCTATGGATTTGTTCAATTTTTTCCCCAGTTGAAGGAAGAGCCAAAAGTCATATTTCTAAGAATTTTAAATAAGAATTTAGAGCTTGCCTATAATATGCCTAGTGTTGTCTTTGAGAAGTACCCACAATATTGTAAAACATTAACCCTTTCCTAAGGAGCTCATAGTCCATCTGTACAAAGTGTGCACTTTTTAAACACTAGATAATCATGCAAGGCAATTTGAGATGGGTGCAGAATGACTGATACCAGCAGTAACTGCCTAGAGGTCAGAGAAGTGGCCTTGGCCCTGGGCTTGAGTATATAGAGAGCTTCAAGGAAAAAGCAGATTGGCAATATTCTTCACAGAATGGTCAAGTTTTGGGTTGATGAAGAGGGAAACTGACCAGTAGGGGAAGAAGCATCGCATCAGTAACAATGGCTGTGTATTGTAGGATCACTAACGGAATCTTGCTTAGCAGTTGGCGCTAGCTTAGAAGAGAGAGGCCTGAATGCTAGGCAGGAGAATCTGGACTTTTTCCTATAGGAATTGGTGAGTCACTAGAGGTTTTTTTAACGAGAGTGATGCAAAGAAGTTGGCATTTTTGAAAGGTTAATATCAGGGTGGTGTGCAGGTGGATTTGGCAGTTGAAGCAAGCAGAAGTAGAATCTGGAGTCAGGGAGACTAGGCAGCTGTTACAGCCGCTCACGAGTGAGGTGTCGGGGCCTGGGCTGATGTGGTGGCCGTGGTCATGGGGTGGATAGCTGGATCTGGAATGCATTCTGAAGCAGGTAGGCTAGTTGGTGCACATGAGCCTCTTATTGTCTGGATTGATTTTTCTGGGCCTGCAGTAACAAAGTACCACAAACAGGATGGCTTAGAACAGCAGGTATTTATTGTCTCATAGTTCTCGAAGCCAGAATTCTAAAATCGAGGTGTCAGCAGGGCCATGCTCCTTCTGAAGGTGATAGGGAAGGGTCTTTCCAGGTCTGTCTACTAGCTTGTGGTAGTTCTTTGGCTTGGGCCAGCATAACTCCAATCTTTACACGGGATTCTTCTGTATGCCTGTCTGTGTCCAAATTCTTTTTACGAAGACAGTAATCATATTAAATTAATGGTCCACCCAACTCCATTATGATGTCATCTTAACTAATTATATCTGCAATGACCCTGTTTCCAAATAAGGCCACATTCTAAAGTATGGAGGTTAGAATTTCAACAATTTTTGGGGGGATACAATTCAACCCGTAACATAGTCCTTTAAGAACTGCTGCCTGAGTAGTGTTTTTCTCTCTTAACCACCTGTCTCTTCAACAAGTATGCTGCGTTAGGTGAGACACTACAGACGGGAATGAGAAAAGTCATATTTACATTGAGCTTACCCCATCTTCCCTGAGACAAAAGGTTGAGTGGCAGATCAGTTTTACAGTACTAAAATATTTCATCTCAATTTTTGGTCAATACTTGAGTGTTAAGTGAGATTGGGGCTCTTTAGCTTGCCTGAGTTCTTGTCTAACCCATGTCATCATTGGAGAAACTCCTTCTGGCATAGTACTGTATTCCCTCTTCCCCTTTTCTTCCCCTCTGTCCTTCCTACTTTATTTGTTCTAAGGGGGGGAATCTAATGTGTCTTGCATTGAATTGCAAAGATATGAGATTATTTTATTACGATAGCATTCAAAATACAGCCCTGATAGATCTAGAAAAAAATAAAGAAGATTTTAGCCTTTGTTGTCATCTCCCTGTTATTAAAACAAACTCAAATTGAGGCTTGGTTCTGTTCATGTATTCATTCATTCATTCATTCATTCATTCAACAAATCCTTGTTGAGCATTTATCAGAATGAGGCATTGCTGTATGGTACATAATCTGGATCAATTTGGAATAAAATATGTTCAGTGGTGCTTATTACATTTATGAGAAATGTTTTCAGAAAAGCTTATTTACTCTGGCTGGGCTGCTCATTTGGTTAGAACATCACTTCAATACATCAAGGTTGCAGGTTTAATCCCTGGTCAGAGCACATACAAGAATCAACCAGTGAATGCATAGAGTGGAACAACAAATTGACGTTTCTCTCTCTACCTCTCCCTCCCACCTCCCCTCTCTCCCTCTCTAACCCCCTTTCTCTCTCTCAAATTAAAAAAAAAAAAAAAAAAAAAAAAGGAAAAGAAAAGCTTATTTGGCTCCAATCACATTTTAAAACATCTGCCCACTTCTCAAGTTTATACGTTAAGGAAATACTGCCTTGTGATTTGCTTTTGTGGCTATAAATTTGTAAGATGGACTAAACATATTTTATTACTTTGAAATTATGGTGAAAGGTATTTTCTGGGAGGAAAAAAAAAAGCTACTCTACTTGGACACTAAACAGTATTCTTAAGAGACCTGCAAAGCAACAAGGTACATTGTGGATTTTTCATGGTTCTTTCCCCTGAAGGGTTTTTGCTTCTTCTCTTTTCTACAACATTGGTACAATAGTTTGTTGTTAACCAAAATCCAAAATATTGCCATTAGCTTAATTCCATGTTTAAGAGGATCCTAGCCTATGTAGTGTGAAGGAAACTTGACTATCTTCTCTCTAGGAGGAGCTCTAGATATGGAAGTACAGTGACGTTTGTATACAGCCTTGGTCCTAGGAAATGTGGAGGACATCCTTGTAGAGCCCCACATCTTAGAGACAAAGCTGTATGAATATATGATGGGAGACAACCAATCAATGTTTCTCTCTCACATTGATGTACCCGTGGGTGAGGATTAAAATAAAATAAAAAGAGTCCATTTTATTCATGAATATAGATGCCATAATTTTAATCAAAATATTAGCAACCCTAACTCACAAATACATAAAAAGAATATATCATGACCTAGTTGGGTATTCCAGGAACACAATATTCTTTTTAAAAAGATTTTTAAAATTGATTTTTAGAGAAAGAGGAAGGGAAAGGGAAAGAAGGAGAGAAACATTGATCGGCTGCCCCTTATATGCCCCCAATTGGGGATCAAGCCCACAACCTTAGCATGTGTCCTGACCGGGAATTGAACCAGCAATCTTTTGGTGCATGGGACAATGCCCAATCAACTGAGCCAAACTGACTAGGGTGAACACAACATTTTTATTTTATTTCATTTTATTTTTTTCTCTTTATTAATTTATTTTTGTTACAGATGTTTCTCCTTTTTCCTCCATTAATACCCTCCTCCTGACCACCACCCTCAGCATTGTTGTCTATGTTCATTGGTTAGGTACAACATTCATAATATAAGAAAAATCTATTTAAATCACCACATGAACAGGTTACAGGGGGAAACAATCATATGAAAAAGAAATCAAAGAAAAAAAAGGTATTTAAAAACTTAAAATTCTTTTTTTGATGGGAAGGGGAGAATAAAGAAATCAGACAAATCATAAATGGACTCCTGTGGCAGAAATTGATAATATGGCATACAGTAAATACCATACTGAATGTCACATGGAAATGTAAACAGTGATGCCACCTCTCATTTTCAGGACACTAATAACCAGTTTCTTAGCTGTTTTTATTAGAAAAATTACTATAATCACAATTGATTCTTGGGATTATTACTTAGAAAGTTATATAATCAAATAATTATTTGGTATTATGTGTTATCTATTTAGTATTTATCAAGCAGTAATGGAACACTGAAGTTATGTCATACAGGTCTTTAATTTTATACTGATTCAGAAAAATGTTAGTTTGAAATTTTTTTAAAAAAAATCCATTTTTAAATGTGCTCAGTTTGAAAAAGCAGTTCCAATTTTTGTAAATACTATGAAAATTAGCTGTTATGACAAATAGCCCTGAAAATGTACAACTCTGACTAGGGTTTTATTTCTTTGCACTTTATTGTCCACTTGGTATTGAAAGGCCAAACACGTAATCTGAAAATCTAGTTAATTAGAAATTTAGAGATGGATCTCTTTTTTCCTACCTTTCACGAAGATAAAGTGGATCTGTTTCCTAAATAGAATTCATGATTTAAATGACTGTCTAGCTCAATTCTTTGCTTCTTACAAGTCTGAAAAAATTACCTGGTTATAAGGTATTCTAACAACTTTTTGCCTCTAGTCTCTCCTTTAGGAGTTAATAATATGCAAATGACCAAAGAAAAGATGGGTTAAATTGGACTTCACCAAAATTAAAAACTGATGTTCTTCAAAGGACACTCAGGGAACTGAAGCGGTAACCTTCAAAATTTGTAAACCATGTATCTGGTAAGGATCTAATATCTAGAAGGTATAAAGAACTCTTATAACTCAATAATAATAAGACAAATAACCCAATTTAAAAATGGCTAAGGAGTTGAATAGACATTTTTCCAAAGAAGATACACAAACAACCAGTAAGCACATGAAAAGATGTTTAACATCATTTAGTCACTAGACAAATCACAACCATCACTAGATACCACTTCACACCTACTATGTTAGCTATAATCAAAGAGACAGTAACAAGTGTTGGTGAAGCATGGAGAAATTAGAACCCTCATAATATTGATAGTGGGTATGTAAAATGGCTGCCACTTTGGAACAGTAGTAGTTGCTACTACTGTTCAATTCAAAAAATTAAATTGTATGACCCAACATTTCCATTCAGGTATAATACCCAAGAGAACTGAAAACATATGTCCACACAAAAACTTGTACAAATATGTTTTGTAGCAGCATTATTCATAATGGCCAAAAGTGGAAATGACTGAATTTGAAATAACTGCTGAAAACAAAATGTGGTATATTCATACAATGGAATATTATTCAGCCCTTAGAAAAAATGAAACATGGATGAGTGCTGCAACATGGATGAACCTCACAAACATTATGCTAAGTGAAAAAATCCTGATACAAAGGCCACATATTTTTATTTCAGTTATATGAAATGTCCAGAATAGTTAAATTCAT